GGTCAAGGTCACATTGACCTCTTGGGTACAAACGGTTTCCGATCAATAACAAAAGAACCCTTAGGCCTAGGGACTTTCAAACTTGATATGATGATTGGTCATGATCAGTAGATGACCCCTATTGATTTTGGGTTCAAGGGGTCAAAGGTCAAGGTCACATTGACCTCATAGGTAAAAAAACGGTTTCCGATCAATAACTAAAGAACCCTTAGGCTAGGAACTTCAACTTGGTATGCGTGATTGGTCATGACCAGCAGATGACCCCTATTGATATTGGGTTAAGGGGTCAAAGGGCAAGGTCACATTGACCTTGTAGGTAAAAATGCTTTCCAATCAATAACTTAAGAACCCTTAGGTCTAGGAACTTCAAAACTTGGTATGGTGATTGCGTCATGACCAGCAGATGACCTTTTGATTTTGGGTCAAGGGGTCAAAGGTCAAGGTCACATTGACCTTGTAGGTAAAACGGTTTCCGATCAATTAACTAAAAACTTAGGCCTAGGAACTTCAAACTTTGTATGAATGATTAGTCGTGACAGCAGCAATGACCCCTATTGGAGTTTTGGGTCAAGGGGGTCAAAGGTCAAGGTCACATTGACCTTGTAAGTAAAAACGGTTTCTGATCAAATAACTTAAGAAGGGTTAGGCCTAGGAACTTCAAACTTGGCATGGTGATTTGTCATGACCAGCAGATTACCCCTAATAATTTTGGGATCAAGGGGTCAAAGGTCAAGGTCACATTGACATTGTAAGTAAAACGGTTTCTGATCAATAACTAAAGAACGCTTCGGCCTAGGAATTCAAACTTGGCATGGTGATTGGTCATGAGCAGCTGATGCCCCTCATTGATTTTGGGTCAAAAGGTCAAGGGTCACATTGACCTTGTATATGTTAAAACGGGTTTCCGATCAATAACTAAAGAACCCTTAGGCCTAGGAACTTCAAACTTGGTATGGTGATTGGTCATGACCAGCAGAATGACCTATTGATTTTGGGGTCAAGTGGGCAAAACGTCAAGGTCACATTGACCTTGAAGGTAAAAACGGTTTCTGATCAATTAACTAAAAACGCTTAGGCCTAGGAACTTCAAACTTTGTATGATGATTGGGTCGTGACCAGTAGATGACCCCTATTGAGTTTTGGGTCAAGGGGTCAAAGGTTAAGATCATGACCAGTAGATACTTGATAATCCTTTTTAATTGTTTGATCACTGGGTCAGAAGTCATGCAAAATAACCTTATCACATGACTAATTGGCTGCTGATAGGGGCATACATGTTTTACAAAACATATCTTGTTGCCCTTTGTTACTTTTCCTTGTCCAGAGCATAATTTGATAACTACTGCTTGGAATTCAATACAACTTCATACAGTTGTCAAGGACATTAAAAGGAAGTGCAGTGCACAAGAGCCATAACTCCATTTTGACAAAATACAGAGTTACTGCCCTTTGATACTTTTCCTTGGTCCGGAGCATAACTTCAAACGTACTGGGTTGGAATTCAAAAACAACTTCATACAATGGTCAAGCACAATAAGAGGAAGTGCAGTGCACAAGCACTATAATTCCATCTTCAGTATTTATAGAGTTATTGCCCTTTGTTTCTTTTCCTTGTCTTCTGGACTTATTACAGAGTAATTTAATAAAAACTTCATCAATGGCCAACCACATTGAAAGGAAATGCCAACATACAAGAACCACAACTATCTTTAATTGCCCACAACCATAATCTATATTTCAATTCTTTTACAAGGCTTATTCTGTTACTAGTAACATCCTCATTTCCGAAGCAGTCTTGTGGGGGTATTAATCACATTTAGTGATAGCTTCTAGTTATTGTTATTGTTTTGATTTCTGTTTTTAACAAGAGTAATGAGAAATTGTCAAACATTTTTTTTTACTTAAAAAACAAACAAAAACAAGCAGTGAGGGCTGTATTGTTTAACATGTACAGAACTTTAAAGGTTGATCTTTATCTAAGCTAGAGGAGGTCAAAGTTTCTTGGAACAATATTAGCCAGTTGAATTTATTGATGAATTTGCCCTGTTTTGAATTTTGAACCCTGCACCCTTTAAGTTAAGAAAATTTTTAAAAAAGAAAATAGTCAAATTTGGGGTAATTTAGCAAAATTGAAGAATGGGGAAGTTTGGGTTTAATTTTTTAAATTTCCTTAAAAAATGCAAAATAAAATATAATATTTTATATTTTATTTAGTTTTTTTCATTTTTTTAGGGGCGAAGGTATCGGAAAACTTTTCGAAAAGGGAAAAATATCAGTGACCCGTTTCCAAAAAGGTACAGAGGCCCTTTTTGGGGGGGAAATTTGGCCGCACCCATCGTAAGAAAAAAATACCGGGGTGAATAAAAAATTTGGCTTTATATTTTCCCCCAAAAAACCCCTTTTTGAACTAATTGGGTTTTGGGGAAAATTATTTAAAAGGGGAAAAAAGAATTTCGCTTTATTTTATCCCTTTTTCCAAAACCCCCCAAAAACCTTTTAAATCCAAATTCTGAGGTTCGAGCCTTTCCCAACTTTTTCCCAAAATTTTTTTATGTGGAAAGCTATCCGTAGCCCAAAAGGGAAAGTTGGGGTTTTTATCAAGGGCCCTTTTTTTTTATCCCAAAAAAATGCAGAAAAGGGGGCCCAATTTCCTTAGAATTTTTTGCCATATGCCCCAATTTCTGTTTGGTGCAAAATAATGCCTGAAAACGGAAAAAAATCATTTTTTAATTAAAAATTTTTGGGGTAAATTTTATGGTTTTTCGTATGAAGAATATAGTATATTACTGTTTCTTGGTTACAGTTGCTAATTTGGTATATAAAGCAAGTGTTCAATAAACTGATTAGAAATAGCCAGTGTCACAGCTGTTGTTTATAATTGGTCAAATTGGCAAACAGATTAGAACAGCTTGCTATCTCTCAATCAATCAGTAGTCTCACTTTTGGTCAACTGATGTATTTATTGCGTCTTTAAAGATATAGCCTTACATGTTTGTTTACCATTTCTATAGGTTTCTAAAAGGATAACAGAAAGATGTATTATGTAACAACGTCTGACGTTGTCATTAAGACTTGAAAGATTTATCGCGACTGGAAATGGTTTTATGTACGGGAGGAGTGACATGGGTATTCATTGGCTGTCCGATACAGGATATGGGATTACAGAATCCTAATTGAATTGTGCACAATGCATGGTAGTACTGTAATAATAGCCATGACATCTTATGTTTGCCAGACCACATTTTGAGATTAACTTGGGAGTTTTCCTTTAAGTATTCCAGTTAACGTAATAAATAAATTTTCAGGGGAAAAACAAAGTCTCACATGTTGTTGTGCAGCTAGACGTTATTGATTCCCCGCCACTGTTGTTGGGATAGGCTGTTTATGTTATTGGTGTAAATTTCCTTAAATTATTTTTTCGGTGTAATACAGCACAAGAGAACAAATTACTGATATGATGCCAGGTGCTGTGCTTTTCTTCCTTTTGTTGAACGATTTTTAGCTCGACTATTCGATAAGAATAAGTAGAGCTATTGCAGTCACCCGAGCGTCGGCGTCGGCGTAACCACTTATGTTAAAGTTTTTGTAATAGTTCAAATATTTTCAAAGTCCATTGACATATGGCTTTGAAACTTTGCACACTTGTTCACCATCATGACCCCAACCTGTAGACAGGAGGAGGTAACTCTATCAAGCATTTTGACAGAATTATGCCCCTTTTTCGACTTAGAATTTCCGTTAAAGTTTTTGTAATAGTTCAAATATTTTCAAAGTCCATTGACATATGGCTTTTGAAACTTTGCACACTTGTTCACCATCATGACCCCAACCTGTAGACAGGAGGAGGTAACTCTATCAAGCATTTTGACAGAATTATGCCCCTTTTTCGACTTAGAATTTACGTTAAAGTTTTTGTAATAGTTCAAATATTTTCAAAGTCCATTGACATATGGCTTTGAAACTTTGCACACTTGTTCACCATCATGACCCCAAACTGTAGACAGGAGGAGGTAACTCTATCAAGTATTTTGACAGAATTATGCCCCTTTTTTGACTTAGAATTTACGTTAAAGTTTTTGTAATAGTTCAAATATTTTCAAAGTCCATTGACATATGGCTTTGAAACTTTGCACACTTGTTCACCATCATGACCCCAACCTGTAGACAGGAGGAGGTAACTCTATCAAGCATTTTGACAGAATTATGCCCCTTTTTCGACTTAGAATTTCCGTTAAAGTTTTTGTAATAGTTCAAATATTTTCAAAGTCCATTGACATATGGCTTTGAAACTTTGCACACTTGTTCACCATCATGACCCCAACCTGTAGACAGGAGGAGGTAACTGTATCAGGCATTTTTTTTACTATCAAGCACTAAGAATAGTCGAGCATGCTGTCCTACCGACAGCTCTTGTTGTATCAAAAACTAATTAAGTTTTGATGTGTTATTATGGCAGAGTGAGTTTCCATTTACCAATATTGCGGCCGTAATATGATTAGAGTAAAGACGGTCCATACAGAATGTTTCAATCATATGTTTGTTCATAAGTTTTGTCCTGATGTAAGATTGAATAACGAGTTTTGATGGGAAAATGTCTGCACACAAAATGTGATCAATGACTTATTTACAGTAATGATGATGACAGATTCAGACACATCACAAGTGATCAGCCCAATATACTGTCATTCACAGGGAGAAGAAAATGAGTTTTCTGTCTTGAATTAAATAATCGAGACTTCTGTTTGAAGAGAAAATTTTCATTTTAGGCATGTGCAAAGTACAATCAATATTGAATAGTTAAGCTAGAAGTTAAAATCCTTTAACTTCTAACATGAGTACAGTCATGTGCCAGTGGGGGGGGGGGGGGGGGAGAACACTGGAGGTTTGTCAATAACTGTAGCAGTAAAGGACAACTTAAATATTATTATTAACAATTTGTTAAGATTTACCCAATCTCTACTGAATAAATGTGTTCAATAAGACTTTTCCTGTCTTGAATTTGGTAAAGTCAGTTAGTAATTTAAGGGAATTCAGTATCAAAGTAGCAAACAGTATTTAGACTTTAGGGTTGTGCAGGCTGTTTTTGTGAGTATTCTGACAGTATAGGTTTGCTATATATCAAGGCTTACATTACCTTGTGTTCATAAAGCTGAACAAGACGCAACAAGAAATGTTGTTGAGGAGAAATCAGATTGTTCATGTACGATCAGGTATATGGATGTTTGAAATTTGATTGTTTATATTTTATAGGATCATGTATATGGATGTTGGTGGCCTCGTTCCTGAAGCTCCCAGTGTCAGCAACACACAGTATAGTTGGTGCGACACTAGGGTTCTCGCTTGTGGCTCATGGTGCTAGTGGGGTCAACTGGAAACAGCTTGGCTACATCAGTAAGTGAATAGCTAGTTATTGTAGTGAGTTAAAACTTTAGCCTGCGTACAGTGACTTAATCTACCCATGTGTCAGTGTGAACCAAGATCTTGAACTGTTCACTATTCAGTCAGTTCATGAAGTTCATTTAAGATATTTGGCATGGTAAGGTTTGAACATTGATGACGTATGTTAATTTTCCAAAATTATATTTTGCAAAAGATCATTCACTTGTTAAAAGTTTAAAAATGCGAAGAAAATAGAAATAATTATTTTAATTTTATTAATTTATTTTGAAATTTTCCATGAAAGAGAGTAAAGGTTTTTGTCATTTGAGAGATGGACAAGACAATTTAAGATGCTGAGTGTGGTAATGAATAAATGTTAAAAAATAAATAATATATAAGGGGTAATTTCATGTTGTACACATTCTGAAGTTTCATGTATTTTAGGCTATGATGTTATGTATATTATATTGATATATTTTTATGTTTCAGTTGGTTCCTGGTTCGCCTCACCTCTATTATCTGGTGGCATCTCAACACTTCTCTTCTTCTTTATATTTAAAATGGTTCTTAGCAAGGTAGGGACTAGGTTTTTAACTTAAAAATTTTAGAGAAAGAGGAGAAATTCTCTCTCTTGGAATTATTGCCGACTGTCAACGATTTTCTTTTTAATGTTACTAATTTACAAGTTGTCTTTTTCTTTAATCTTGGGGGGGGCAAAAAAAGACATTGATTTTAAATCACTTACACCTTTTGGTAAATGGCTATCCAACTAGATTTTGTAAGGTTGATAGTTTTACCCAAATGTCTGTCTGTGCCTTTAATAATGCCTGAAGTCTTTCTCTACCACTAGTTAAGCTGAAAATTGTGAATTTTCAGCTTAAGTGCAACTTCATATACAATCAACCCTTTGATAAAATTAACTTTGTTGTAAAAACTTGTTCATAATTACTTTCTAAAATATTTTAAGAATTGATATATAATACATGAAGAAAGTAAGCTGACACTTATTTGTGACATGTTTTATTGCAGGAGAAACCATTAGAGCCCGGCTTGAAGCTTCTTCCTATATTCTACGGTTTCACCATAGCGATCAATCTGTTCTCTATCTTCTACAAGGGCTCGCAGTGTGAGTATTACATAATTACATAAACCTTTTAAATGTTCTAAACACAAATTGGAAAACAGTCTTTCGAAGTTGTTTGATGCAGGTTTTAAGTACTTTTCTTATGAAATAAATACTGGGAATTCACTTAATTTGGTGGGAATTACATTTCCTGGTTTTGTCAAATTTCCTGCCCTGGAATAGTAATGAATGTGCAGTTAATTGAAGACATTTTGTAGATTTAGTATATTTGAAAATTTCATCAGTAACATAGCATGAAATGCTGTCCAATTACAGAAACAAAACAGAAAAAGCATTAAAGTTTTGATGTGTACATAATAATTAAAATTGTCATGCTAATAGATAGATATACAAAACAATTTTTGACAAGTCAGGTGTTTTCCCAAATGGCAAAGTTAATGAAAATTCCACAATATTCTCCTGAACTTTTCCAGACCATCCAGGTATTTTCAAACTAAGGAGATATAATTATATATGACTTTAATTATTTATAACAGTAAAAAAGATTTTGGGGTTAAAAAAAAGGACCCCATTTACAAAGCCAAAATATCTTCTTTTTTTTTCAGAATTGTGATGCTGAATTTTCACATTTCAAAGAGCCCGAGACCCATTCATAATATTGCCAACGCTTTATAACTTTTCTTCAGTTTTGTTTATTGTACATGTCAGTCCAATACTAAGACATTAACATGCCTATTTTACAAAAAAGTGTGTAAATAAATGCTTTTGACTTTCTAATCCATGTTAAGAGGATTAATGTTTTAACATAGTATTATAGGATAGGTTTGATCTGATACTGTTTCTGACGTACAAATTGAGGGGGGGGGGGGGGGAATGTATCTAAAATGATATCTCTCTTACCATAGTAAATAAGATCATAAACATTTTCTTTAACCCTTAGTCTATTGAACCCAAAGTGACAAGTTTATGTATTACCAGTATAGAGGTAGGTCACCTGACTTCTGTGCAGTCTGACCAGACTCTACTATTGGCAGCTTAATTTTTCTTTCGCCTGCTAACAGATAGGGACTTCTCTGTCATCTGTCTGTAATACATTTGGTACTTAGGTGGCTAGTACTGGCTACAGTATCAAAAGGTAACTGTACTTTTTCTTTGAAAGGTGGACAAGTCCATTTAATCCCCTTGTGGCTTAGGGATCTCCTTTAAGTATTGAGACCTCTGAATTTGGGTGGTTTTGACCCCTGATGTTGCTTGTAAAGTTTTTAACACCTGAGGTTAGCCAAAATCATCTTCCCTGTTTTGGCACCATATAACCTAAATTGTGGTCGTGTGCTGTAAACCAACAAAACAAAGTCCATTTAAGTTATTTAGTGAGATATCCTATTAACTGTTATCTCACTAAATAACTTAAATGGACTTTGCCTGCACCAATCTGCAAAATACAACTACATGGGGTCTCCTTCACCCTGGAAAGTGGCTTTGTTACCAGTCTTAACTTTATTCTGCAGGGAACCATTCTGTAAAACATATTACTTTGTGGTTATGTTTAATACATACAAATTATGTGCATATTATTCAAGATTGGTGTTAAATCTAGGTGAAGGATACAGTTTAGTATTTAGAATTCATGTCCTTACTGAATTAAATTAATCTTAAAGTGATGCAGCTATATCGTTCATGATAAATTCATCAATTATCAAAGTTGACAGTAGGATCCTGTCTACTGCAGTAAATTATAACCTTGCTTTGAATATGAAATCTCATTCACAATTCATTCAAGAACTGACTTGCCTTTGGCCATTTAAAAGCATAGATTTATAATATTCATTATTTTATAAGACCACATACTTCATTAATTTCACCACTAAATTTGGTTTTGTCCATATTGGAAGCCGGAGAAGTCCATTTAAGATATTTAGTATGGTTGGGAACCAATGTTAGAAGGTGAAATTGAGTAATAGACAGTACAGAACCTGGTCAGACTGCACAGGTGTACAAGTTGACCTAATTCCATATTGGTGGCAGAAGCTTATTTTGTCGTCCATAGTTAATTACTTGATAGCAAATGCCTTTAATTTGAATATTTCAGTGTAGAAACTGTAAGAAAATTTGGAAAAATTAATAAGCCTATAAATATGATGACTTTTTTTCCCCAGATGATGATGTATGTACATGTATTAATATTAAAATGGTGTTTTTAACAAAATGATCATTATTACAAGTCTATAAACATACGCTGCTTAAGGAAATCTTCACAATTTTGAGAGAATTTTCAACAGTTTTATTTATTTTTTTGGGAAAATTACTTTATTTGACCTCTGGACCTCTGATATATGCAAAACAATCTTTTTTAGAATATTGTCAAGGTGAATTAATTCCTTATTTTCAAATTTAAAAAAAAATTCTTTAAAACAATTGTCATAACTGTATGTTTTATGTTGTTACAGTACTACATTTCAACAAAATACCTCTGTATGGGACGTTTATATTAACATTTGGACCTGCGATATTGTTGGCCATTGTTGTCAAGTTTATTGTGGTGCCATGGCAACGAAACAAAATTGAGCGTAAGTATGATACCTCACTTATAGTATCACTATTGGTATATATAGTATTTTGAATTTGTTTGTCCATATTTTACCATTAAGATGAAGATTTTGCTGGAGGTATAAATCAAGAAAGATTGTCAGATTGACCAGCTGTTGTCTGTATTTAGCTTATTGATCTTTGACATTGAGTTAATGTCATTTGTCTCTCATCACAGACTCGGAAATTGTGTGGGATTATTCCGTTGTGAAGAAATTTGTAACTACTGGTTAGTTATTCAGGCAATTAGATGTACTGACTGCAATGATATGAGTATAAATGTGTTGTAAATGGCAAAAAATCAAACAAAATAAACTTAAATTTAACCACTAAACAATGTATTATGCAATGTGAATTCTGAAGAAAAGTTTGTGAATGAGGGATGACATAATAAAATACAGATTGATTTTGGTGGCAATGCTCAAATGTCATGTATATAACTGTAGCCCATCTGCATGTTCTTAGTTTGTCAGAAAATTGGCAACTATTTTACCCATCCGACCAGTGCAGACCAAAATCATGGGTTGCACTGTCAGCCATTCCTCCTGTACAGATTCTGAAATTTTCTCTAAAAATTGATGAATTGTTATGGTTAATGAAAGATGGACAAGTCCATTTATGATATTATGGGCATGCCATGGTAAGAGACAATATTTAAATATAACTAAGTCAAGTGCATGAAAACCAGCAAAATAAACAAACAGGTGATAACAAACATTTTTACTTCCGCACATGTAGATAAATTTAATAGGACAAGAAGTAAACTATTTACAGCAAATACTTAAGATGAAATAAGTGTATCGTAAAACTTGAAATATAGAGGAGAATTCAATGATTTTAAAATATTTTTTTTATAAAAGGAAGACACCTGTAAACAGCCCCTGCTTTAGAAGGAAAAAAATCTGACTTTCACTTTCTTTTATCCAGATTGTAATATATTTAAAAATCATTGCAAAATATGTAGCAAATAGGATGTTTTATCCAAAAAAAATATTAAATTTGAAGAAAAATGTTTTGTTTTGTTTTCATAATCTATGTCATATTTCAGTTATAAATATTTACAAAAAGATGCATTCAATAACAAGTTATTTCTGTATAGATTGGGGGGTGCATACTTTAATGATTTAGAAACTGGAAGTATCAATAAAGTGGGGAAAACCTGCTAAAACTGGATTTAGGCTGTAACGTTGGTACTGATACTGCACTGAAGTACATAAAATAATATGTAAAAGGGCATCTGGTTACTTATATTGCCAAAAAAAAAAAGAAGAAAGATATAATACTAAAAATAAGAGAGAATTATCTTTGTTTTTTTCCCATGACATTTAATTCTAGGGGCAAAACTATTCATTAAAAAAAAAAAAAAATGTTTAAAATAAATATAAAAAGAATGGTAGAAATAGAAAACAAGTTAATAAGAAACAAAACCAATTATTTAATGAATATATTGTTTCTCGGCAAACTTGAAAAAGTGTTACATGATCCGGTTTTATCTCTCAATATTGAATAGCATATTGAATAACATATATTTTGAAGTGAAGTGGTAGAAGTTTTCCTGTAATCTTGTATCTTACAATTGATTGATCTGTTCCGTAAGTTATGAGACATTTTAACTGATGTCTGACATAAGAAGGTATCAATATAGACTACAGGTTAGATAACAAATTGTTATTCTATAAGGCTTGTACAATATTTTTAGAAGAAATTGTTCTTATAAACTTGATAGATTGGGGTGGGGGGTGTGCAGGTGTTTTCTTTGTGGGGGGAAAAAGATTTGGACCGAGTCCACATGTAGTTCATGAGATGCAATTAATATTATTATGTGGTTTATTCATTTATTTAATGGGCTGATTTCTTACACTTTCTATTTCTTTGAGAAAAAACTAAATTGAATAAACTGGACTTCGCATAGTATTTAGAACATTGGTCTTCAGATTTTTAAATGATAACTTTATAATAGATTTAACCTCTCCAGAGCAACACCTGTCCACAACAACCAATGTCCTTGTCTCACAAGGGGTGTTACTGTGTGGAGGTTTTACTGTACATCTTTCATTTATAAATGGAAAATAAAAATAATATAATGTAAATGAAATGTATATAGTCTAGGGATTGTTGTCCTAGGTGAGATAGGTCATCTATTGGTTACCAATACACTTTGAAACATCTGTGTTGGCATGCGTGTAGAAACACATATATTGCCTTATATTAATATCGCTATTGATGCCATTCACGAGTGAAGTAATACATGTATGTGTGGTGTACTGTACAGCTGTCTGTCTGGCAAGAAACCAATGTTTACTTAAGTATAGAACTTTTACATAGTTTGGTGCAGTTCTTAATAATGAAAAATCAATAGTAACTGAGGCTATAAATATTCAGAATAGTACCTGCATGCCCTGTTGTTGATAGGAAACAGTAAAGTTTTGAGTTCAGTGCACTTCTGGAAACAATTAAAATAAGAAATAGTGCCAAGATTTAAAGAGAATAATCTCCAATGGGTTTTCTGCTGTACATTTAACACTATATGTTTTTCTTCTCTGTTTAGAAATAATGGGAGTTTTGATAGTGTTTTTAATGTAATAAAAAAATACCCCCCCCCCCCCCCCCCCCCCCAAAAAAAAAAAAATAGTTTTCAATTATAGAAACACAAGATAACATGTAGAAAAATCGTTTAAAAGCCAATTATGCCTCAGAAATGCAATCATTTTTACTTATAAATTTCTTTTTTTTTTGTTATCTTGTTACAGTTTCCAAAAACTCACTCATTTGCTACATACATGTACATAAACTATCTTGCATGGCAATTGGTATAATTACAGTGTACGGAATGCAAAATGCTACCTTTACAACATGTGACTGCATGTTCAGCGTTAAAAATCTAGCTCAATTATTTAAACAATATTAAACAAATGTTTGATTATAAAGATACAGATTTCTGAGGCATAATGTGCCTTTAATGACCTACATACTTGTCTCAAAAAAACAACCCCCAACACACACACACACACACACAAAAACAAGTCTCAAAAAATATAACTATTAACATGGGTCTTATGATTCAAAATTTGAAAATAGTTTTGTAATCTAAATTTTCATCTGATGACTAATCCATCCGAAAGAAAACAAGTTAGTAGGTAAACATGTGACTTGATGCAGAAAAAATTTTATTACCTAACTTGGCGATGTAAACAGTCTTAAAAATAAATAAATAAATATTAATATAAATATGATTGCTTCGGTGGATATACATGCAGTTCTATGGCCTAGATTTGAGTCATTTTTATAGGAAAACAATATCAATTTGATATTAATAAACACTATAGCTGACTAAGCGTTCAGTGTTATAGGCAATTTTGATGATTGTTAATAAAGACATTTGTATTTCATGTTGTTGAATATTTTTACATTGTTGATAAAATTCATGTTGTTTTTATGTTTGGCTATGTAATAATGTGTGGCATATATCCAACTATTTCATCATATTGTTTACATTTTGAATAAGCTTTGTTTACCAAAAGTGAAAAACATGTTGAGATGATCATGTTGAGACAGAGGTAGTTAGCTAAGTATACCTAATGAACCAGTTTATGGACAACATAGTTTGAGCTCCCCCCCCCCCCCCCGTTCTAGGTCAAGGGACAAAAGTTTTAAAATATTGAAAATCACAAAAAAATATATGAATAGTGAAACAGATCGGAAAGAAATAAACATATGTGATGTAATCTTTTATAATGTAAAAATCTGACCAAGTTTATTATCCCCCGCCGATGGAATCAGGAGGGGGATATAGTTTTGGCGTTGTCCGTCCTTCCGTCCGTCCGTCCGAATTTCGTTTCCGGAGTAGTTCTCTGCAACTACTGGCTAGAATTCAACGAAACTTCATGGGAATCATCAATATCAAGAGGAGATGCGCATATCGTCGGCTTGTTCCGGTCCGACCCTTTAACTCTGAGTTATGGCCCTTGATTAGTTATGTAGTATGCATATAGAGTAAATATCGTTTCCGGAGTAGTTCTCTGCAACTACTGGCTGGAATTCAACGAAACTTTATGGGAATCATCAATACCAAGAGGACATGCGCATATCGTCGGCTTGTTCCACTGGCTGGAATTCAACGAAACTTTATGGGAACCTTCAATACCAAGAGGAGATGAGCATATCGTCGGCTTGTTCCAGTCAGACACTTTAACTCAGAGTTATGGCCCTTGATTAGTTATGCAATATGCATATGGAATTAAAATCATTTCCGGAGTAGTTCTCTGCAACTACTGGCTGGAATTCAACGAAACTTTATGGGAATCATCAATATCAAGAGGAGATGCGCATATCGTTGGCTTGTTCCGGTCAGACCCTTTAACTCAGAGTTATGGCCCTTGATGAGTTATGTAGTATGCATATAGAGTAAAAATCATTTCCGCACTACTCTGCAACTACTGGCTGGAATTCAACGAAACTTTATGGGAACCTTCAATATCAAAAGGAGATGCGCATATCGTCGGCTTGTTCCGGTCAGACATTTAACTCAGAGTTATGGCCCTTGATTAGTTATGCAGTATGCATATGGAATAAAAATCGTTTCCGCGCTACTATTCTGCAACTACTGGCTGGAATTCAACGAAACTTTATGGGAACCTTCAATACCAGAAGGAGATGTGCATATCGTCGGCTTGTTCCGGTCAGACACTTTAACTCAGAGTTATGGCCCTTGTTTAGTTATGCAGTATCCATATAGAAAAATATTTGTTTCCTCGCTACTTCTCTGCTACTACTGGCTGGAATGCAATGAAACTTTTTGGGATACTAAGATGAGATGTGCATATAGTCGCCTTGTTCCAGTCAGATACTTATAACTCAGATTTATGGCCCTTGATTAGTTATGTAGTATGCATACATCTCATTGGCATTTCCAGATTTTTACTATTTAACACAAAGTTATGGCTCTGTTATTGCCCTGAATATTTATCAAGTTCAAAGAATATTACTGTTTATGCCATGATTAATATATAAATAAAGCCTTATGTATTCAGTTGTTGTGTTAATAATAACCAGTACTCGGCGGGGGATATAAATTCAACGAATTTGCTTGTTTTATGTAGCCACATACTACATGTACCTCATTATTAAGAGTAATGTCTATTCATGCACATTTTGACATATATTTTGTAATAGTGCTTGACCCTTTAATTATTGAGATACTTATTTTGTTAATTGGAAAATATTTTTACCATTAAAACACTTTTAACGTGCTGGGAAAAAAAATGCTCAAAAAAAGGAAAAAATATAAGCTATTGCCACCAGTATAGAGCCTGATCAGCTTGCACATCCTTGCAGTCCGACCAGGCTCTATACTGTTGGCTCACCATCTTCAAAGTTATATCTTGTTATCCCTAATATTGATAATAAAAAAGAAGAATGAGGTTATGTTGGATTGGGAACTGGGTCATAATTCATAATTTGGTTACAGGTTATGAGGATAACATTATACCAATATAATTTTTAGACATAACAAAATGTTACATTTCTCTTGTATATATTTTAGTGAGAGTCCTTGTAATTTCCCCCATGATTCAAAAATCATACACAAAATAGCCCCTTGCATGGGCCATAGCCAAAGTCTCAAAATGCTTACGAAAGTCCTGAAAAGGATTATTTGGCTGTAAGTAATTTGTACAAATGATTTCTGATTTCAGGTCATGCTAGAGATATAGTGAAACAGAAGGAGGAGGAAGGTCTTATAGAGAGTGACAAAAATTGTAAGTTCTAAAACTTGTTAAATTTGCCCAGTGGCCATGATTATCTTTACTTTTTGAGAGGAAAAATTAGCATTGGAAAGATGAAAAACAGGGAAGTGAAATAATAAATACAATGAACAATAAATTTGTATAGCTTTACAATAAGCACTTAATATTAGTGAAAAAGGAAGAAGTATAAACAGTCTTGGAAGTAGATGGTTAAGAAAAGAAAATAGAGATTGTTTGATATAAGGCAAGAATCACTGGTCTGGGTTTAAATCGTGCCAGGGAGGTTACAGTATGAGGAAGTCTATACCAGAGAACCTGTGAATGTTCAGTGGTTATACTCGGAAATGCGCCATATTGTGAGTTTTTTAGCCCGAAATTTGGCCCCATCGGCATCCCCCTCCAATTAATTATATATTTATATATTCTCCTGTTCTTTGCATTATGATTATTGTTGTTGTTTACAAACACCATTTACTTCACAACAACACAAAATTCTAATGTTCATTGTCCTTATTGATCGTTAACTAAACATTGCTAAATGGAAACTAAAGTTCTTTTTGTATTTCAAAGTCTTGATAAAGATACCTGTTAATATTCAGCTGCTTTAATTTCCTCAGGCATAGAATGATGGCGTATTAATATTATCTCATTAACAAAATATCATGTCTAGTTATTATTCAAAGGCCCATTGTTAAATTTGATTTATAAAGGAGCTTGTTTGTTTTTTGTTTTGAAATTATGAACTAACTAATTAGGATGTGCATTAAGAAGTGGTTTTATTTTCTAATGGAACGAAATGTTGAATTGGTAATTGAATAAATGTAAATAAAATCTTCATTAATCATGATTTAGAAAAGTGCATCGTTTTGGTTCAAGCTGTAAAATTTGCATTAAACTTAATTAGCATGTGAAATTATCTGTTATAATTTTGTATTCACTGCACAAGCAGAATAAAGTGTAACCGTATTTCCGTAGTTCATACAACGGACCCGACAATGCTCCCAGTAATTGACCTAACAATACAAACTAGTTCCTCGTCAATTTGCAAAAAAACAACGGGCATAGGTATTTGGTTTATAATAGTTTGTATATTTGATAAATTTGTACTGTTTGTACGAACATTTAAAACATATTAATAATGTGTCAGTGGAACAAGGTCTCATAGTGCTAGAAAATTTGTATGATATCAGACAGAATTATTAACTCCCTAAAAATATTATTTTATTAATGGTAAAGTTGCATTAATGAATATATAATTGGTCTCAAAGCAGACAAAGATGAAAATGTTTATTCATGTTTTGTCATAACATTTCACTAATTGCAATAAAACAAATTAAAAAGTTGGGTGAACTTTTAGTACCTGCATAATTTGCATTAAGTTCTTTTTTCGTGACCTTTGCAAAGTTAGGTATATTATTGAATTATTTCCCTTTATTTTGGTAAAAGTCATATTAATCAGAAATAGTGAATTTTGAATGTAAACATAGGTGCAACTAACTAGTATGTTTGTTGTTTGATGTATTTAGTTTAGAAAAAAGTGTATAGATATGCAAAGAAAAATATATATTCATGTGCAAAAGCTCTAATGTTGTTTGTTTACCTTCAGCAGTTTCTTGTACTCTGTGAACCTTAATCCAATTGAAATTGCTTAGTCTTTTGGAAAAAAAACTTGAGATAATACATTTCTATCAAGTGTATATGTGATTGATATCATGTGTTCTAATGCCTAATATCTCTGTGTCATTGATATCAGATATATTCTTCATTGATATCAAGGGTATGCTCCATTGATATCAAGGGTGTGCACAACTGATATCAAGTAAGAATGTGATTGACATGTAAAGTCTATTTAAATACCTTTCATCTATGTTCATGAATGAACCAATGGTTCCTTCTGGAGCAATGCATTTGTGTAGTTTAAGTTCTATACCAGCCAACTGGGAAAAAAAAAGAAATTTGTGAAAAGGATAGCACATAATAATATGAGAAATATTAAAGTTAGGTTTGTGTATTTCAGATCAAGACACACTCAATGCACATTCCAAAGAAGCGGCCGCATTACGGTCAGAACTGTCTAGTAAAGATAACATTGGTAAGAATTATCATTGTTACATCTGACATAATGCCATGAATTTAAATTGCTGAAGGAGTCTTGATTTACTGAAGGGGGGCTGCTGGTGTCTGAAATAATGCATGTAGTAGCACTGGAGGTCTTCCTACCATCAGTAAAGCTGGAAAAGTGCCATATTACATTAAAAGTGTTGTTATGACATAAAAATCAAAACAATCTAAAGATCCTTGATACTGTGCAGTACATGTAGACTTGTTTTACTATAATTTCTTAATCTGGTTTAATATGAGTATTGATATGAAATGACAACTTGTGTCAGATCTGGGCTTGATACTAAAAAACAAAAAACATTGTAACTTGTATATCATGATATAGCCCTAGTTACACCTTTTCAAACTATGCTGACATTATTGTTAAACAATTTTATGATTGAAGAGTGCATGCAGTTCTTATACATGTGTCTCTATATATCTATTTAGGTGATTTGCAGCCAAAGTCGACAAGTACACCGGCAAAAAAGAAGAGTCATCACTTGCCGCTGGGTGTGAACGATTCAAATGTTGACGACGTACTCGACGCTGCACAAAGTCGTAGCAACATAAGTGCAAAAAGTAGTACATTGTTGATCCCAAAGATTGAAAAGATTGACAGAGAAGAGTTCATTATAGAGGTGAAGAAACCAGAAGGTGACAGTAACTGTAGTAGTAACAGTGGAAACACAACGGGTAGCACCGCTAGTCTCGAAACTAATTCTAGTCTGAATGATGAGGTATGTGGCCCGCCAGGGACTTTTGTTGATTTGTTAGAAAGTCCTTAAGGAATCCTAAGGTCCAAAGGTCTAAAAAATAAAATTTGAATTTTGCCAAATAACCAAAGTACAAACTACTTTATAAACTCTAACAAACATAATTAAAATACATTTTTTTTACTACATGCCACTGATTTTATGAAGTTCCCGGGACTGAAAATTTACTTCGAAAAATCGATGGGTTCGAATAATCCAAATCCGAACATAGTGATAAACGAAAACTACACCACTTGACCATATCGCAAATTCTAGCGAAATTAAATGTTTACAACTCATCTGTTACCGGTAATCAATCGAGAAAAACAAATAAACAATGATAAATGTTCAAAATATTTTTATTGTTAACTTAAACATAACTACTTGCATTTTATTTCACATATAGCGTATAGGTTAATATAAACATGCATGAACATTAAAAATAGCGCTATCATCTTCCGTATGAGAGAAAAAAACATCAAGCACGGCGCAGGATTTAAATCATAGATATACATGTACATGCATTACAAATGTATTTCAACATTAAACAAGCAATATTAATATTTTATCTTCGTCAAAATATAAACAAGCAACTTGAAAAGTCATATTATTTTTCACTTCTAAATGTAATTTTCACAGACACATTTCGGTAATATTTAGCATCCAATCATATTTTCACTTAACATCACTTTGAAACATGTTTATTTTTTGATTTGCTTTCTTTCTTTCTTTTCACCCCCTTTCCCCCGGTAACTAACAACAACACAACAACAACGGTCAGCGAGTCAATCAGTGCCAATTAGTCTGGCTTCGAATAATAGGTGTGAAATTCTTATATAATGATATAATCGGGACCGAAATGTTGCTTCGAAAAATAGGAGGTATTCGGATAATGCATTTCGAATAATACGTTGGTATTTATATTAGTTTATATAGAGATGAAAACGGGACCGTAGATCAACTTCAGATAATGCCGGGTATTCGAATAATGGGTTGTCGAATAACCGGGGTCGGACTGTATATAAAAAGTTACATAATTAAAATGGATTGGATTTTTTTATTTTTGACTCATTGCCGGTTTTTAGTGAAGAGCATTGCAATGCTTTGCGTTTTGTGGTCATTTTTGCATAATAAAAATGATTATTATGGAATAAAGGAGTGAGAGAATGACATTAAAATTTACATACAAGGTAGTGGTTCAGGCCTTCATTAATCTGTAAATAAATCTTGTTATAATATTTCCAGTCCCATTATGTCAAAAAATCTCAAGTGTGATCCCTATTATCAGTTTTGAGGTGGTTTCCCTTGTAGAATTATCTATTGTTAAGAGACAATGTAAAAAAAAAAAATTCTTAGGAAGATCAGAATACATTTAAAATAGTTTGGAACTTGCGTCCACTTGCTTAAAAGGAAAAAACAGCGATGTTGACTGCAGTGCTGAAGAATTTATTATCTGGCATAGTAGAAGGAAGTCATATTAATTGTAAATGAGGCAGGAATGCATTAAGAACACAAGCTAATATTAAGTAACTATCTATGGGGGAAAAAAAACAGATTTATATATCAGAAATATTGATAGTTTATATATATACTTCCTTCCTCAGGAAAGAAGAGAACTAGCTAGAAACAAGATTAAAGATACACCAGAAACAATTGGTCTTTTCTCATTCCTTCAAGTCCTTACAGCTGTATTTGGGTCATTTGCTCATGGTGGAAATGATGTGAGGTAAGTTTGTTTTCATTGTCATATATTTAAATGGGATGCTATGTGGCTAATCGGGGCATCCATGGCTGAGTGGTAAAGGTTGATGAGTTAAAACCACTTGCCCCTCACTGCTATTGGTTCTAATCCTACAAGGACTGTGGATTTTTTTGTGTGAGGAATCCATCCAGGTAGCTTACGGGAATGTCTGTGGTTCTATTCGGGTTCCCCCTCGTGCGGCAGATGTCATGAGGTTGTATTTATAGTAATCTTGGTAGGTGTGCAGTTGTATCTAAAAATATTACGAGTTACCCTGCTGATACAAAAATCAATTTGGTAATTACTGGTCAGTTATCCAGGATAACCAATTAGGTAAACATACTGATGAGATAAATATGTGTCAAGATTGGTGTTTAAACCAAACAAATAAACTTATTTCATTTCATTTCATCTATTTAGCAATGCTATCGGACCACTAGTTGCTATATGGATAACAGCGTCAACAGGAAGTGCCGCACAGAAAGCCCCGGTCCCCATCTGGATTCTGATGCTTGGAGGTGTTGGTATTTCAGTAGGTCTGTGGGTCATGGGTAGGCGTGTGATGAAAACCCTTGGAGAAGATCTCACAAAAATCACACCATCTAGGTTTGTAACATTTTCATTTTTCAAAGCAAGAACCCCTGTTGTTGATTTCAGTTTAGTATAGGAAAATATGGAATCTTTGATATGAAGAAGATATCCAGCAAGCTTATGAAGGTTAGTGGTTCAACTCCAGGGTGTCTGAAGTAATGCACCAATGGAAAATTAAGGTCATCCTCCATAAGTAAAGCTTGAAAGTTGACATGTAGCCTTAAACGTTTCACAACAACTGTGAGATTACAAAAAAAATCCAGCCATTTTCCAGTGGCATATGCTAAGCCCTGTTATTGCTAACAGAGTTACTGTCCTTTCTATATGTCTGTTAGTGTTCTTTGTCGTAAGACATTTGGATACACTTTATCATTATCCCAGTCCATAGGTTGTCATAATTTGTACAAGCAGAAACAGATCCTTTAAAGAAAAAAAAAGTTTATGTGAAATTGTTTGTATAATAACTATATTATATCTCTTGAAATTTATTTGATATTTTTATATGTACAATCTTATATAACATTACAGTGGGTTTTGTATAGAAGTCGGGTCAGCATTAACAGTATTACTGGCTTCTAATGTCGGTATTCCAGTCTCCACGACGCATTGTAAAGTTGGAAGTATAGTATTCGTGGGTTGGTTTAGATCACGAGTAGGCGTGGACTGGAAATTGTTCAGAAATATCATCATCGCGTGGTTCGTGACTTTGCCAATTGCTGGCGGACTTAGTGCAGCTTTTATGGCAGGCTTAAGAGAGCTAGTGTGATATCAACCGGAGGAAAGAAAAAGTTCACATTTCATGTATGATAGTGTGATGATAGGAATTAGTTTAGATTTTGAAGCTCCTGTTTTTACCTGTAAAATAAATGAGTATAACTTCAAAGAATGGGAACAATATAGATAAGGATAACAGAAAGAGATGTAAAAAAAATAGGTTTCCTCTGCCAAAGTAGTAGTAGAAATTTAAACAAAACAAAAAATGCAAAGAAAGTTTGTCAATAATTTTCTAAAGATGTTGGCAAAATGGTAAAATCCTAATGATTTAGAGGGTATTTGATCATTCAGGGTAAAGAAATGCATGAAAACTGTCTGTGCTCTTCCTGGTGAAAACAACAGAAGATTGGTTACTTCCACAACTAGATAAAAAGACATGCCAAGTCCTTTACTTCATGTTGGTAGTTGCTCAAAAAATAAATGAAAAATTGAGCTGTAGCACGAGAAAAGGAACCCTGTGTTAAATTGAATTTAATTTTATTTTACTCTACCAAATAATGAATAGAGAAATGCTTTGGTAAAAAAACAATCAATTCCCTTAGGAAATTCAATTAATTTAACCATAGGATTGTAGATATAAAGAATTTAGCCTGGAATCCCACAAGAACTGGATGCAGACGTAAATCCGTACCTGTCTGATTTTTATTTTTTTAAACCAATTACTGCCTATGCAATCTTGAGCACTTCTATATTAAGAAAATAAAATCTAGACAAAAATGTTTATTATTTGTTATCAGAATTAGACTTAATACTTGCATTGAATTTGCATAAAAAAAATAACAAAACAAAAATCGGTCATCATGGTTCCTTTTCTCGTGTGACAACTCATTACGTGATTTTTCAAGACACCAATAATGATCTGATGATATATTTTTATACAAATAACAAGCCTGTTGATTTTTTTGTTTGTTTTTTTTGTTATGAATGCTGTTAATTGTGTACATTTCTATTGTACATTTGTCTAGAATGTACCCGGTAAAATAACATAATTCAACGAGCAATACCATGTGTAAATAATGCCTATCTACATTTCCCCTGCCTTCCCCTGGCACCCCAATAATAATAGTAAATAAATAAGAAAATTCTGTCAGAGACTTGGGGTTTTATTTATGGGGGTGCTAGCCAGAAAACCGAAAAAACTTTGAACAAGATATTTCGTAAAAAATTTTTTTTTCAATTTTGAGCAAAAAGAACACCTATTTCAAAGTAAGTGTATAAGGTAATGCAGGGTACCTTATTTTCACATGGTTTTGACAGATTTATGGCCTAAATTTGTTTAAGTATATGTGTTGTTTTTTTTTTCTATTAAGTGGGTATTTTTTCAGTGTGACTTGTATGTAACAAATTACTAATTTTCATTCTGTATATTTCTTTGTTAAGAAGATAAATTATTTTGTACAGTTTTATATAAGGAAATGTTTATAAGAATAATGGTGTAAATAAAAAGGCTGAGAAATAATGTACATTTTTTGACGATATTTTGCTTGGCCTTTTTTCTTTGCATAAATATTTCCTGTATGCATGATTGAAAATTTTTTATCAATAAAAGTTACTGTCGCGCACTGAAGTGAGTAAGAATTGTAAATATTTCGATACACGGTCACCACATATGTTCTGCGAAGCCTTATTTTCGTTTTACGTTTCTGCATTTAGATCTAATGTTTTTCTTCAATATATTTTGTAACATTTTGCCTTTCGATTGAATACTCATTCAAGTATGTATCATCAAAGTTTTTTTTTTATTTCCATAATAAGAATAAACAAACATGAATGCTCTCCGTAGCTAGAGTATACATTAAATTTGTTGTATATATCTTTAAGGAGCTCCAATTAGGTCCAAAAGCCTAAAAACATAGAATCTTAAATTCTTGGTGAGATTAACTGGCTCACTTAAAATTGGAAAGAAAAATGTGCAAGAGATAAAAGAGAAATAATATGTTTTGAAAAGTTAAAATCTATTTGTTTTTTTTTTATTAATTTATTATTTTTTTTTTTTTGGGTGAGATGTTGAGCATGATTTGAGTTAAAACGTTTCAATTTTAGATTATGTTAAGTCGAACAGTTTTTCAGGAAAATCAGAGTGAGCATGTGATCTGAATTTTGTACATAAGTTATTGATTTAGGCATTCATCAAAAGATACACAAATCTCAAAAGAATAAATTTAAAACAAAATAACAAGTCTGCAATAAAATGTACTTTCAAGAAATTTTTTTTTTTTAGAATTTTTTGTTCTTGTTTTTTGTATACGATGTTCCTTTAGTTTTGAATTTTATTTGTTTCAGAGTAGCTACTATTCATTTGTCATTAATGTTTATTTGTATTTTTTTGTAGCTATTTTGTTTGTGGATTTTGTTGATATATTTTTCTATTTACAGTTTTGATTATTACCTTAAACAAATTATGTAAAATTAACCAAAAGATTAAGATTTAAATTAACCAAAAGATACTGATTAATGTGTATTCCAAACCATATACTCTCAGTATGAATATTTCATCAGAGGGAAATAAGTAGAATTTACACTTAAGCAAGATGTTTACTTACCTCCCCTGAATTTTGTTTTAAAAAATGACAAGTTTTGTTTATTTGTTTCACTTTAGGCCTTTTCCTAACAGTATTTCAGTCATGTAGGCAGGTAGTGTCCTCCTAACCATCTTCCTGGAGAGTTACACCAGTACTAGACTACCTTCCTCCGTGCTAAACTGACAAGAATGTTGAGTAATAATAAAAAGTATTGTGATCTTGCTACAAAAGGATCATTACTTTGATGAAATCAAAACATAAAAACTGGATTGTAACCAAAAATATTCATATGTGAAATAAAAACAATTGTTATTCTACAAAGAATTCATGCTAGAAACAAACGCTTTAAGTTTTGAACTAATCTAAACAAGCCTAGTTCTACAAGTGAATTACATTTATATTTAACCCACAACTTATAATATTATACTATATGTAGTATCAACAATAATTAATCTACAAATAAACCTTGTTTGCTTTATTTTACAAGAAAAAGGTTGTTAGTACCAAACTTAAAATTTATACTCTCACTAAATCTGCAAAGTCCTGTTTGAAAAGAATAAAGATGGTTTAAAGTTAAAGCAATGCCTTGAAAATGGACATTGTCTTGGTCTATGCATCCCTCACTTTAATATGGCCTACTATATTGAATATTACTGTTTAATTAGTGCTTTCAGTTTGTATATAACTTTTGAAAAAACTGTATAAAAATACAAAAAGCAAAAAGCAAAAAAAAAATGTATAAAAATTTCAAAAACAGTCCATGTAAGATTGGCTACCAAAAAAAGCAACAAACAATTAAAAAAACAAAACATGTTCTGTGTAACTTTCTAAGAGTGAAGTTTGTGAACTGAAATTATTTTTATAAGCATTATATGTGGAAATCTGATTTTTTTTTAACTTTTGAAAGTTGCTAAATATTTGCAAGATTTTTTATTCTAATTTAAAAAAAAACAGAATAACCAAGTACATTTTTTGTAAAATCTATATTTTATGCTTTGTAAAAAAAACCTTCAAATGTTATTCAAAGAAAATTACACAGAACCAAAATATGTACAAAAAAACAAAAAAAAACATTAAACACATTAAAAAAAAAATCATGAATTATATAGTTTTAAGAAGAATGATCATTTAGAAGTTTTAGTTCTTGTTGATTTAAGTGTGTTTCAACAACAAGATAAAATTATTATTCTCTTTTGTTATTGTGTTATTATATATAATTTTGTTTATGTCTCTTGTTTTAACAATGATTTATTTATCTGCTTGAAGTTTTTTCTTTAAAAGCCATTTCTCCACCATTGCAGGGAGCGAACTACAAATCTTGCTTCTGCAGGAAACCTCCATTTGTTGCCTCCCCTGAACATACATCTTATGTTTAAAAGGGGAGAAAAAAAACTAGAATGCATGTTATGAACATGTTTCGATCTTGGTGCAAGAATGCTTTGATAAAATCAAAACCTATTGGTGATTAGCACCAAACATTTCATTCATGAAATAAAAACAATATTTATTCTACAAACAATCTATATAAGTTCCAATCTTTTAATTTCTGAAATAAGTATTTGTTCTTCTTTGTTATATTGAAATACTGTTGATCAATGGTTCAGTTATGTAAATACATGTATAATGCAGTCTGTGGCAAAGTTTATATGAACATATTGGGACATAGTAAATGGAAAATTTCTGATTTCAACCCTCATTTCTTGAACATCCATATAACTACTCCCATTTTGTTATGTTCTGCTGTTCCTTCTTTCAAAAATCATGTCATAACATTTTACATCTAGTCACTTATACAAAACCAACCATTTTATTTCATATAAAACCAGTATTGGTTACTTTCTTAAAATGATTATCAGGAGTGGGTTTATAATATGCTCCCAGCTTTCATTACAGATATGCTATATTTAAGTTAGTAATACTTTATTGAGGTTCACCATTTTTTATGTACAAAATTAAAGGTATCTGCACATTTTTTATCAAGAACAAATAGGTCAATCAATGCAGAGTGAAAGATATAACATCCCTGATAGGAAAATCCTGTTAAACTGATAAGAATAAAGACTTTGAATATATGTGTAACATATTTATATTATCCTTGATAAAGTGTGAACACCTGAAAAGTTGGTTGAAATCAGAAAGTTGCACTCCAAGGTAACATTTACTGTGCTAAACCTTGTCAACATGGCCATCTTGAGATGATTTGATACTGTAAGTGCCTTGTTATGAATTTATTGCCATCTGATAATGGTAAATTAAACATATCTCAAAAGAATAAACTCCCTCCTCTCACTATATCTTGAAGATTAAAAATCACCCATTTTCCCTTGCCCAATACATATCTCAAACAATAAAAATTCCCTGCATATCACAAAGAAATAAAAATCACCCAACATATCAAAAAGAAGAAAAAATTTCCCAACATACCTTAAAATCTCAAACATAAAAGAGATCTTCAGTTTCAGAAAAGAAAACATAGAATTAACTAGCAAAAGGGAGAGAGAATTTTAGTAGGTTTACATAGCCCTTTTCACGGTGAAAAAAATATTCAAGCTTCATGTATTTAAAACTACATTGTGCATGATTGGGACCTTTGTTTACCAGTTTTATAAACTACATTCACCAATACTTTTTTTTTTCTTTTTCGATTATCTTTTCATGCCACACTTTGTAGAATTATTTCTTGTTATGCTTTTGTCTAGTTTATAAATAAATGTGCTACAAAAAATGTATTATATTTCATTTATGTGTATTTATTTAAAAATGCCATATTATCATTCATGTCACATTCTGATTGTTTTGTATATATGATGATGATGTTAAATCATAAATAGCGAGATAATTTGTTTTTGAAACATTAAAGGCCCATTATGACCTACATATCTTGTTTTAACAGTTAAAAAAAATATATATATAATTCTGTGTTTTATAACAAGTGAGGAGGCATTAGGAGTTTTGGCATTTAAAATATGAGATAAGGTCAGATGATCTTTGCCTTTTTCTCTTTTCTTCACAACATCTGGGTATATCCATTAACTGTCTTGGGTTTTGTTTGTTTTTGATTTCGTTCATTGTATAAATGTAATTTAGAAAGTGATCAGAGAATAAAATTGTAAAAGAGAAAATAGAAAAACTTCAGTTTAAAATGAGTAGAAACATTGGCACCAGGTATGAAACACATTTCAGAAGGGATGCAATCATTAAGATGTATGTCTCTCATCCCAGGGCTAATGGGTTGAAGCCTTGTTTGGCACTTGACCTTGTTTCCTCGTGTAATTCTAGTACACTGAATTGTTTCAAAATGTTGATTCAAATGTGACTGTAATATAAGTTGTAAGAACATGTTTCATAATCAGGCATAAATTGTTTTAACCACCGTAAGTCATGGTGGGCCTTTAATGTAGATTTATTTTCATTTGTGCAGCTAATTTGTAAAGAAACAGTATAGTCACTATGTGAAAATCTTGTCATTACCTTTTATTTTTAGTTTCCCAGTTTCATTTAATAATCATCAAGATTTTTGAGGTTTCTTATTGTTCTTAGTACCGCATTTACTTTACCTGACTCATGTTTCTTGTTTTAAGTAAATATTTTTTTCTTAGGTAATTTAGGAGTATCAAGAACTGTTAACATGTCATACAAATACATGCATACAACTCTATGACAAAGATTTAACTGCTATATACCTCAGATATGTAATTTAAAAGCAGAAGAAAGGGTGTTGGGAGTGTTATGTGCCACGACTGCTCTTGTTTCTTTAATGGAGAAGAAGAAGAAAATCAGTGTAGTCACATTATAATACTATATTACAGTGTTATAGTAAATTATTGTCACATCAGCAATATTTGAGAAAGGGGGGAACATGTAATCATATTAACAAGAGATAATCATATCAGTAAAACAATCATATCACCAACTGTAGCATTCCAGTCGCTTTAAAGTTGTTGTTTTCTTCTTTTGCGTGTCTCTTATTTTAACCCTTACTTAGCTAAACTTATATAATAGACTCGCCCCTACTTCATATTTAAACTGTACATTGTTTATATTCCATCAAATTAAAACTACAATACTTAGAATTATCACATAAGCCATGGCGCATTTAATAAAAACAATATTACACTAGTGTAATAGCAATTTAACATGATTTCATTTGCAGTATATACAAACATGTAAGCATGACACTATAGGAGCATCATTGAAAAATGACTGTATTAGCTGTGAACCATTTATATTTTAGATTTGAGATAAATAGAAAATTATATACATGTAGATTCAATACTAAATTTATTAAACTTGTTGGATAAAACAATACTATGCTTGCCAGAGGTCTGCATATGATTTTCACAATGGTTAATTTTACTGCTAGTCAAGGCTTTCAGCTTGTGCTTAATTGTTTGATAGTGTTAATAAAAGGCATATTATGTCTTGGAAACAAATTTTTATTTCTTAAAAAAAGGGCAAACATGAGTTTGATGACATTTAAATACTGGCTTTACAGCATGTTAGATGCTTGTCACATGCTAAATGTGAAATTATCTGTCATGAAAGTAACAAAATGTAAACAAAGTAGTATTTTGACAAAAAGTAAGTGTTTTGACTTTCAATACTAAATCACTATAACTGTACTAATTGCCTAAAGTAACAGATGAACAAGAATGGTTTAGGTGATTGACCAATGAGTAAAACTTTAGAAACTATAAAACTACATCAAAACATAAAAAGCTTTTGAGAAATAGAAATATTTCTGAGAAGAGTTGTTATTTATGTTCTTAATGCCAGATTTTTGATGTAAGGGGTTTTAATACACAGCTGATTTAAAATGACTAAATCTCTAGAATAAATTTGAAACCATCAGAGAGATTTAAAAAAGAAAATGCATTATGTGAAGTGTCTGTTCTTGCCTAAGATAACAAATAAGAGGCATTTACTTAAAGCAGTCTTCCGTTACTTATCTCAAAATGGTCATATGTGTGTATTTATGTCTGTGGGTTATTGTTATTCTATTCTCTAGGCCTTGATATTGGATTGCTGAACTTCATATTGGATCACTGAACTTTATATAGGACAGTCTTAAATCCTGGATATATGGAGGTATTAAAATATATAACATTGAAACCTTAGAAAAATTGAGCCTGTTTATGGACTGCCCAATAGTACCAGCTTAAGCAGAATACAACATATTAATATTGTTTGTCGTTTCCTCATTCTATTACAAAAAAACTTTAATAAATATTTGATAGAAGATAATGTTTGTAATATCTATGTCCTGAATGTTATTTTACTTTATGTTCCATTTGTCTGAATTACTTGATAAGTGCTAATATTTTTGTTGTTGATAGAGAAGACATAATATGATACTGTGAGATTGATTGAATATTTTTTAGCTTTTGCGAAACTTTTGTAACAGCTTTTTAGAGAGATTAAATTTGTGTGTATTTTTTTTTTTTGTGCGAGTTTTTCGTTTTTCTGTCTGTCTCTATAATCCTTGTATTGACATATTTTTGTCTTGCGCTTTTTCTTTATTGATGGTATTTAAAAAAAAAAATCCTTTTTTTGGTGCAAAATTGTTTATAAATCAAAAGTACTGTATATTATTTTTGTGCAGAAAAACACCCCACTTATAACGATACCGCTTTGCCTATCTAAAATAATGACACCTGGATATAACAGATCCCCTGAGTATCGTTGTCATCTGCAAAACCCTCTATATAAAATGTAAATTTTTACTTATTGAATTAACTTTATTCATAAAAGTATTAAAGATAATGTTTTGATAATAATCAATAATTTATGGTTTTTTGAGGCTCAAAAAGAAATTAATTCAATCTCCATTGAGCAAACAAATTCATTGTTTGTCTGTAAAGGGGGTTTCTCTGCAAAGGTTTTACTGCGATGTCTTTTTTTTATTTTCTACAAACATATTAAAATGCAAAAAATTGTTTCATTTTAACAAGCCTTTGAATATGATTTTAATTAATTTCAGCATTTTTTTTTTTTCGTTTTCAGTTTACTTGGCTTTGAATATATTCAAATATTTGCATTACAAATATAATAGATTACTGGATTTTGTGCCAATTTGCAGTCATAATTTTCACTGCCGTGAATTGTTTTGATACTTTGAAATGATTTCATATGTTGAATAAAATTACAACTGATGTACATGTTTGTAAATGCAAAATGAAAATAAAATAATTTATGACTGAACATTTTTCTTCTTTGTTTTGTATGAATTTTGCTATAGGAATTCTGTAAAATATTCCCAAATGAATGAACTTTTCCTTGCTTTTGTGAATTTGGAAATATTCCTTGTTTGTATATGAGATTTCAATTTTCACTCTAAATGTTTTAAATGTCACTGCCCCACTCATGAATTTAACAAAATGATGGCAAGTTAATTTTTACCTTAATCATTTACACTTGGGTGAGCATAATGCTACTTGAGATTGTGTTGGGTTTATCCAGCTTTGAATTTAGAACAGTCTATTCAAAGTTAAGAGATTTCAATATCAGAATACAAAAATTGAGCTACGATCAGTATGTTGAAGAATCTGGTTACACAGCACATGTTTGTAGGTGGGTATGACTACTAATGAAAACGGCTTTTCACTGTAAATTACAGTCTCCTTAATCAATTTAAAAGTTAAAGGCACATTGTTCCTCAGAAAATGATGTGGTTTTTTTTGTGTTGTGTTCTTGTTTCTTTGAAGGAGCAACCAAGCATTTATTTATGAATTTAAAGCATACAAGATGCTTATCACCAAAGGTTATTATGGCTGAAAGTGAAAACACTGTGAAACTTCTTGTCGTAAAGGTAGCTAAACGTAAACAAAGTAGTATTTTGAATTTCAAACAAATTAATAATAACTGTAACTGTTCTACCTGCAAAAAGAAACAAGCAAAGGTTCAGCTGTATATGATCTATGAATACTTTTTTCAGAAATTGTAACATGCCACCAAAAAGAAAAATATTTTGAGAAATGGAAATAGAAACATTTGGGGGCGGGATTCGAACCCACAGCGGTGAGGGGCAAGTGGTTTGAAGTCAACGACCTTAACCACTCGGCCACGGACGCCCCTCGTCTCTAGGTACATTGTATCAGCATCACATTAGGTCTATATTATAGTCAAGACGCATCTTTCCGTTCATGTATCAGACTCATGTATTTCAAGGGCACAAAACTTTCTCAAAATATTTTGTATTTGGCGTCCTGATAGTTTCCAAGAAAAAGCTATTCATCGCCATTTTTCTGTGTCATAATTTGCTTCTGTTGTTTTCTGTGAGTTAGTACAGATATAGTGATTAAGTATATTGCATGGAAGTCAAACTAATTCTTTGTTTACATTTTGCTACTTTCATGAAAGATAAAGGTTACATGGTATCATGCTCTAAAACCATTATTTAAACATTATAAAACTCACGTATACCCTTTCTGAAGAAGGGAAAAATAATTTATTTCCTAGGTATAATGTGTCTTTAACCGTTTGCAAAACACCACAGATACCACCACCACAAACGGCTTAAATTAATCAGGGGTAAAATATTTCCTTTTAATGGATAGATTTATAGATTATCAACTCAAACCTATGACTATTGAACTGTTGTGTGATTTGATTGTTGTAGAAATCGAGATATCATACGTATTTTAAAGTTGAATGCATGAAATATGTTTCATCTTTTATATCGTTTAAATGAATAAGATATTGTGTAGCAAAAACAAACTACAAAAAATAGATCGGACAAAATGTTGTAGTTTTCGTTTACCGTATCCAATTATCCTGGATTTGGAAGCAAATGAATCCTTCCACTCGGAATTACCGAATTTCAATCATTATGTGAATAAATTTGGATAAATAAATTAAATAGTTAAAACAAGTCTTAGATATTTGCAATTTATCAATTGCAATTGCTCAAAGAAAAAAAAATCTCGAAAAAAAAAACACGCACACATGTCTTGTCTTAGATGCGCCACTGCGACGGAGAACGTTAAAGCGTCATGCGCATTCTGCTATCCTGCCAACGACATGCACAGGTGCTCGTCCAGTCTTGGTGCCCATATAAAAAAAATGAAGTTTAAAAAAAAAATTGAAAAAAAAAAAAAATTAAAAAAAAAAAAAAAAAAATTGAAAAAAAAAAAAAAATCAAAATAACTATTTTGGGTTGAGTGTAAGAAAAAAAAATTTGAAAATTTTTTTTTTTCCTATATACCATTACTATGAGTAATGGTATATAGGGGGAAAAAATTCAAATTTTTTTTTCTTACACTCAACATAAAATAGTTATTTTGATGTTGTTTTTTTTTTTTTTTTTTTTTTTTTTTCAAAATTTTTTTTTTTTCATTTTTTTTTTTAAACTTCATTTTTTTTATATGGGCACCAAGGCTGGACGAGCACCTGTGACGACATGTATTATCTTTAAGATTTATCCAACTTTCTGAAATAATCACACGCACGCACGGTCCCTCCCCCCACAAAAAGTACATTAAACAAACAAAAAACAAACAAGATATTTGTGTCGGGTTTCTTTTGTTATAGTTTATGTTTCTGGAGGATGTTTTTGTTTTTTCCGGAGGCTTTAATGACGACGTTTTCGATTAAACATACGCTGCAACTTCAAACCGTTAAAACTTTCCAATGTTCAAATGCCGTGACCTTTTACACGATTTTCTTAGGGTTTTAAAACAAGTTCCAGGCAAATTTTGGACACGATCCATTTTTGTGTGTATCGGACGTCGCGTTCTTTGAGCTGCGCCGCTGTGGCATTTCTATGGTTATTCACGGTGGCCAAATGCATTATTTCAAAAATGTTTTGCAATCAAATAGTATGAAACATTTAACTTTTCGAATGAAGACAACACGAAATTTATCAAAATTATAAACAAAATCCGGGTAATTCTCGATCAACCCGCGTATAGGCGCGGTGGTGGTGTTGTTGGTAGTTTTCTCTCCAGATCACGACAGTAAGCCACATTTAATTTACCAGAGGTCAGTTCAGCCACCGCAACGTTCCTGGACAGGCTGTCAAGCAGTTTTCCAGTACTATAGTCCCCTTCACTTTCGCAAGGAACTGAAGCTTCTGTACATGCCAGGGCAGAGGTACAGTGCGAATAACCATAGAAAAGATTTCATGATCAATCACAACCAAAGTGACCTGCGCCATCCGGGAATCGAGCCCGGGTCTCCCGTTTCACAGTCCAACGCTCAACCTATTATATATAAATATCGTATAAAGCACTGAAATGAGGTTATTTTGAAGTACGCGACTGATCTGACAACCCACCTTTCGTATTAGTAAAACTAACGGAAATATCATTCTTTCATATCAGACTGGGGTTTCCGTTAGATTTGGCTAGAAAGCTCATCTGGCAAATTGGTGCCAGATAAGTTGCGTGCACTAAATTTAAAAATGACGTCATTTAGCGCTTTTTAGACTTAGTTAATTAAAACTTAATTAGCATTACATTAACTTAATGATGTTAACGATTTCAAGTATGGTAAAATATCAGCGATTTATATTACATATTTGATATAGCTTTGTGTAAAATATGCAGGAAAAAATATCCGAATAAGTATGTGTCTGCGGTTCAGAATTTTAAATTATGGACGGATACCTTCGGGCCAAATATTCTGATCCAATTAGTTTAATAATATTTTATTGTATAAATATACACAGTGACACAATATATATTTTCACAATTTTACATACATAAACAAGTGTACATACAAAGGCTTTTGAATTAAGTGTTCTAATTAACAATTTTTTTAGAAAATCAAAGGAATAAGAAATTGAATGAAATATAAATAAAACTATTGTAATAGTTACAAAAACTGCTAAATAAATAAATACGAAGATATTCATCGCACAAATGCCTAGCTGTCTATTTAATCTTAAATTACTGTTTCAGCGGCAAAATGCTTTGATTTTATTCAATAAAATCTCTTGCTAGATTTTACAAATGTCTGTACAATTATAAAAAGAATTTCATTTTCGAGTTCAAAACGCCTTTCTATTTCCAACAAAAGTGTTCGTACACTCAGAGGGTGAAAACGTCATGTATTTAAAAACAAGGTACGTCTTTGCTCACTGTATAATTTGCATTAAAAAAAAGTGTTCTTAATTTTCAATGTGCGCTCCACATGTACAAGATGGCCTGGAAATAATGTGATTATCATATTATGATATCATTAAGGTTACTGAAGTTGTTTCTTATACAGCAAAGAATTGCCCACCGTAAATGAAAAAAGACAGGATCGACTGACAGGAATTTCACATTTGTTTGTTTTAAAGGAGTTGAGTGATTCTGAATATATTCCATAAATATATTTTGCAGTGCTGATAGTAAGACTTGCAGTAACAACACGAGCAGCTTTATAATATTTTTCTAATGTTTCCTTTCTCGCATTGCACACGGTTATCCCAGACTAAAGTTCTAAGCGTCCCATGTAATTCTGATCTGATCTCACTACAGATATTTTCAGTCAGGTATACATGCAAGAAAATATCATTTATAACATGTTCATAATTAAGCTTTTATGAATTTTTGAAAAATTAAGTTTTGAGAAGCTTCTTGTGAATTCGGCAGTTGCCTACTACAAACGAAACATTATATAAACAAGCTCAACTACTTTAAGTAATGATAGAGGCCTGCATGTATACTTGAATGCACCCATCCCATGCCTAAGTCCAGTATTCAAACAAACACAAAATAATAATTATATCATTTTATAAAAGAATCAAAACACACCAAAATCACAGACACTTGGGGTTTGGAGCTCAAAACGCTTTTAAAATCCAAATAAAATGCATATTTGTCAATCCCAGCACATGTACTGATCATATATATATATATAAAAACTTAATATAAGCCGTTTTGAAAAAATTTCATATTTCAACATCTATAATAATACCAGAGACATAGATAACAGAGATAGGCAACTTCCTAACCAGTCAAAATATCACGCGTTCCTGCTTAACTTAAAACTTGTAGCAAGTAAAACTTATTAACCAAATATCAAAATCAGGAAAATAATACATTTTCTGAAAGCTTATGCATTTGTCTATGGCTGCAGGTAAAAATATTTACAGTTCCCATTTAAATAAATGATACATCATTTTTTAAAGAGGACTACCAATTAATTTTTGTTACAAAACTATTCATTTGACGAAAAAACTGGCTCAGTGGGTATGTTCTGCTATGTTTTTCTAAGTTAAAGGCATGGAAAGTTACCAATATTTTAACATGCAGCAATTAATAGATAAAAGATTTACCTTTCAAATGGTATATAATATTAAATGATCAAATGTACATCCATTAAGTTTTACTTGCTACAAAATGCCTAATTTTTCACTTTATGATAGGAATGAGTGATATTTCAATCTGGGATGTACTCGTATGTTCCAGTTTCAATGGAGTATATAGGAGCTGCTTATCTCTGTTATCTATGTCTCTGATAATACTATTATAGATGTTGAAATATGAATTTTTTTCAAAACGGCTTATATTAAGTTTTTTTGATATATATGATCAGTACATGTGCTGGGATTGACAAATATGCATTTTATTTGGATTTTAAAAGCGTTTTGAGCTCCAAACCCCAAGTGTCTGTGACCAAAATGCATTCAAACGAAATGGTTTGAACACCTTATATGTTTATTAGTGGTATCGTACCCTATTAGCCAACTATAATAGTGTTGCGTTACCTGAGTTGTAGATGCGCATGCGCAATAAGTTGCAATTACACTTCCTGTTTGCTGTCAAAAAATCGAAATTGAAAATAACAGATTTTGTAGAGCTGCATGACTGCATAAAATCTAACATTTTTAAAATCGCTGAAATAAAATTGCAAATAAGTAACAATTCAAAGATATCAGAAGGTAAATATCGCAATGTCAATGTTGAGTTTGTTTGCATTTTGTAAAATAATATTCTTCTCGGCATGTATTACAGGTTTTGGTTGGTGGGTGGGGTAATACTAATAATATTAAAAGTAATTATGGGGTACTTCATTTTGATGCAAAATAAACTGTCCGTATAATTCTGTTTTTTCTTATGTAAATGTTTGTTTTAGTTTGGTGCTACTTTATGAACGTGACAGTTTTATAGTACAATATGAAAATAGGTGCTAGGAAAGCTCTTATGAATTATGATTTTAGCATAGCATGGGACTCCGTATTATCGGCGTACTTAACTTTTCCTATGTGTCTGCATTGAATTTCATTAATGAATTTAATAATCAATATTCTGTGTAAAGCAGTACAAATTCAACTAATCATTACATTTTTTATTGAATGAGGTCAAAGATTTTCAATTTCAATGTATACATGACCGCACATGACAAAATACTGAGAGTACGTCGATAATAGAGTTGCGCCGATAATACAGAGTTAGAGTATAACATGTTTAGTGTACATGTAAACCAGTTAATGCAGGTATTTTGTACTGTAAACAAAACGAATAAATTGGTAGTGTTCAACTATCATAGGAGCGCTCTGAATATCCTGAAAATCTCCAAACGTATAGGGGGGAACGCTGTGCAAGTCCAAATATTTAGACGTAACCGCAGATTTGAAGCTATTTTTTACATGGGTCAAATCCACTTTAACGTCTAAAGATATCTATTTAAAAGTCCATAGCAAAATGAAAAACAATAAACATGCACAATCATTCAAAGTTCCCATGTAAAATGTTACAAATAATCATAATCCTATCACAAATGTGTATTTTCCTTCTCAAAATCAACTTATTCAAATTTTAAACAATTAAAAACATATCCCGTGTAAAAATCGTGTAAATAGCCTCCACATTGGTGTGTACTACACAATGCGGTGATTACTGGAACCATATTTTTTAGACGAAATTTTTACTGCGCGCACCTGTCAGCGTCTAAATTCACAACGGAAATTTTTTTCGTTCAAGCTAATTTCGTACTATAGTTTTTTGAGTGACGTCACAGCATGACTGGGAATTTCCAATATGGGGGTCACCGCAAAATGTCTTTCATGTGTCTTCTTAAAAATATGGATAAATAAACTACTTATCGTGAGTAATTATTGCATATTTTTACAGTTTTTGGGAAAATATGCTTCCGTCTTGTATGCAATCAATTGCTTTTTGTGATAAACAGCATTTAAGTTGTGATTTACCGGTAAATTCAAATCGACTCAAAAGCGTGTCGATTTGTGCTATGGGAAATTAGCCAGTTATGGAAAGACTTCGCATTTTCCGATAAACGTCAAACTGTAAAAAAAAAGAAAATGCGATGTCTTTCAATGAAGGACTACCACTGCGCATGCAATGTAATCTCTAATCCAGTTGTTGTTTTAACATCATTTTTTAATGTGCTAATTTATCAAAAAGGATATGTTAAAGTAACTTTCTATATTTATAATCATAACTGTAGTTCTTATCAATGAAATTAATGTTTATTTTCTGATTTTGTACATCATTTGTTATTTAGCAAGCGTCTGCTAGCAATAGTCTGAAATATGTAGATGCTTATTAAAAGCGCTCTGATATCTATATATAGCTCAAAAGGATTTCAAATCGCAGTGCCCAGTTAACTAAGGATTTTTTTCGCAGCTCATAAGGTATAGGATGGATATATTTTTTTTAATTTTCATTTATTTTTAATTTGATTATACAGTAAAGTTCCGCTTAACGACCGGTCCGAAAATACGACCAATCCGATAATATGGGCAGTTTTTGAAAGAACCAATTTTTTCTCTACATATTTCAATGGTCGGAAGGTCCGATTATACGACTGGTCCGCTATTCCGTATTACGACCACTTTCAAAAGAACCGACAGGTTAAATATTGTTGATTAATGTCCCGTAAATGCGACCACGTGTCCAGTGATAAACACCGACCGTTATATTTTACGGCATTAGCTGTGAACGGTTTACGACACCCGGAAGAGAATGTGTGAATAACAATTTTGACAATTTGCACACTTACAATTTAATTGCTATCGATTATTCGTTTAATGTGGATTAAATTATTGGAAAATCAAAGGGAGCTATTTGATGTATTGAATCGGCACAGGTGCAAATTGATAGATAACTGGAGTAACAGCAATTTGTTATTGTTTACGTATTTCGGATTGGTACATGTATAACTTCCTGTACTGAGACAATGACACTCGGAAAATTCTGTAATTGATGTACATTATCGAGTTTACCCGAACATTATATGATTCTGTAGAACTTGTCTTAAATGAATAGTCAGATGTATATGTTTGTGTAGGAAAGAGAATGACAGAAGGGAATTTATTTTTCTTTTCCAAAATACTCCTAACTTCTGCATACGATCACTTCTGACTTTCACATGTATAAAATGTATATTTACCATTTTAAATAATGTACCAGTTACGTTGTTTTAATGGTGTTTATGTAAAATTAAAATACATCAAATACCTTTAATTAGTTGTTTATACAATGTGTCATTTATCTGCCAGTAAAACAGTTTGAAACAGTGACAAACATGTCTGCCTATCATTCCTATGTATTAACCACTGATACTGAAGGTATATGTGCCTTACTGGTGTGCTATAATCTAGGGTCTCAATAAAGAGACCGACTCGATAATAAGACCACTTTTTGCTAGACCCACAAGTGGTCTTAATAGCGGAACTTTACTGTATGTGAATTGATATGTGTCATACATGTTATCTAAGTGCGCTACAGCCCTTGCAGGGCTTTGGCCCGCTCTGACTTTCCGTGTATAAATATCTTACATTGATATACTAAAATTACTATCATAATCATTTAAGATCAGCTAGTCCCGGACATGACTGAAACTTTAAGAGATATCAACAAGAAACTTTGTGGATAAGATAGATCTAATTGGATAGATGTGCAGTGTAAAAGAACTGTAACTCTACCTTGCATAATATTGCAGTTATTGCCCTGTGTTCATTTTACACTTTGATCATTGTCTGGGACATAACTCTGAATCTATAAGATATCTCAACAAGAAACTTAGTAGGTAAGGTACATGTACATAGATTTCATTGAGTATATGTGCAGTGCAAAAGAACCGTATCATCACTCATTGTAATCTATGGAAGTCTTCTCCCAGGATAATTTGTTAAAACATGTAGTTTACCCCTAAATTTCAATTTACATTGAGTTTTTCTTGCCCTTTTGCAAAATTAATCTCTTATCTTATCCAAAACTTTAGTGAAGGGGCCATTTACCTACCAGTGAAAAACACCCAGCATATATTATCATATAATAGCATCAGATCAGAAAGTGACATCACACCATGTATGATTATTATTATTATTATTATATCTGTTTCCTTTTTCAGACATGCCTAGCAAACAGAAAGGTAGTTCCAAAAATGGAAAAGAAAGTATGAGGAATAAAAAAGTTGTCAATACTACTGGAAATATATCATCTGGTTCTGGGACTTACTTGTTTTTCATTGGTCTGAGTGTTGTCATAGCAACAGCAGCTGTTATCTTGACATTTGAAGATGTTCAACTTTATTTTGGTAAAATTACTTTCTAATAGTTTATAATGTAATATGGTAGTGTTGTCACAGATAGAAAACACAAGAGGGGTTTGACATTATTGTAAGATAGATAGAATGGACTGTGGATATACATGTATTATCTATAGTTTTCTGTAGAAAGCATTTATTAAGTGGACAACATATTTTTTGTCACATATCTTCAATTTATTGAAAAAATTAAAATAAAATAGAATGCATTAACATTATAAATCGCATATATATTTTTTTTTATATATATGTCAGACAACATTCAGCAAAGAAGTTATTTTACAAGGCTGTGTTGTTGTGTATTTTTCATTAAAAAGGTACAAAAGATATTGTCAATCTTATTTTTTCCCCCTCAATTTTGAAATGTTACATCATAAAAGTCATTTGGTTGCCCCTTCTTTTACATGTAGTAAACAGAACAACGGTTGCAGGCTGCTTCATATTAATGGTATCTCAACATCATTGTGTTTCCTGGTATTGAGCAATGCTTTTTCTAGAGTGCATTAAAAATTGCACTATACGCGTATATTAGTAACAATTTTTTTTTGTTTTGTTTTTTTGTTTTCATGATTCAAAACTGTAATGATTCTTTTTTTTTCAGTCAAATTAACTAAAATGGGATCAAACCCACTGGAATCCATTTTAAAAGCAGAAGAATTGAGACAAACAACAGAAGATCCCAAAGATGTTCCAGATTCCAAAAGCAATAATGAGGATGATTCATCTAGTGAAAATAACGAAAACGAAAGTGATCAGGGCGCTAACAGGGAATCTGAGAGTGATCAAATAAAAGAACCCAAAGATGAAAATAAAACAGAAAAGAAGAAAAACAAGAGAAAAGATTATGCGAAGAATGATATAACAAGTAAAGCAGACTATAAGGTCAGAAGTAAACTTGATGCAGCCGACAAACTACTAGAAGAGGTCAGTCAAACTATTTCTTAGGTTATAATCGTTATTTTATGCTCCTCAAAAATTAATTGGAGGAGCATAAAATAGGTGTAGGATTGTCTGCTTATTATGCTAACTCTGACATTTGATGGATTCTGTGAATATGAATATTAAGATATAACCATGATGTTTTGAATCAAACAGCTTCTTGATACAGACTACATGTACAGTATCCTTTAAACCAAAATGGTTAATCTATAATAATGAGTTTTACTTTTGCATTAGATGACAGGTGCTCATTTTTTAGCAGTTTTCTCATTTTGTTGATTTCCTGTCTGAAGTAAGAATCTGTCTTTGTTTGGGGAAAAATGATCCATATTTTGCATTGAGCGTTCAGGTCTGATGTTTAACAAAGTTGGAGGTACGATACATGTAATTAGATAACTGGATATAATGGGTATAATGTAAACTAGTCAACAGTTTGATATGGATGTAAGGCCTATATATTGGCAATATTTACATAGATATTGTAGAACTTTTTGTTTTTTAATCATATACAGTAAATTAGAGATTTAATTGATATTTAAGCTATATCTACATGTATATACTCAAGTTTTATATTAACACACCAACTGTTAGTTACTATGATGTTATGGTTTTATTTTATATTGATTAACTTTTAATGTTATAAAGCTTAAACCCTTAACCTGCTGGTACAGAAAGTGATAAAATCTTGCCAACAGTTATTTTAATATGGAGCAAGGCCAGCTTATATACTGGTACTGTACAGTATGACCGGGCTCTATACTGTTGATAGATCAATTTTCGTTATTGGAATCCCTTCAATCATCATATGGACTATTCCAGATTCAAAGCAGGACCAATCCATGACACAAATTCAACGAGTTCAGGTTTTAAGTTATTCCGATGAATTTAAAGTTATTCAGAATCTTACAATGGCTGGATGGAAATATATCCAACATGGTGAGGAGTGTGGGGGAACCCTTGACATTGTCAATGGCAGCTCTATTCAGAAATCACTTAAACTACATTATAATTTTTTGTGTCTTTCATATCTGTTAACTAGTATGATTTATTTATGGAGCATAATGAGTATTGTTGTTGGCACACAAATAGCCCTCTTTTTTTCAAAACAACACAAAATTTTCCAACACGAGTGCCCAAGTCCCCCATGAGGTATATTTAAGGGCTGTGAGAGAATTTGTACTCTTATTTTAGGGAGATGTGGAAGGTGCCATTCAAAAGTTTGACAAGATTTTACAGAGTCATCCTAACAGCCCTAGAGCATTATGGGGGAAAGGTTTAGCTACAGATAAATTAGCAGAAAGAAAGAGAAGTAATAGCCTGCTGGAAGAAGCTATAAAACTCATGGATACTGCCTTAAGGTAAATAAAGGAGATATTTTATATGCTTTACTCTAGGGGTGCCATGGTTACCTGTTTAAATGGGTTTTTTGCCTTGAGGGATATAAATAAGAGATTTCGTACTTGCAGTTGCTGAACTGTACTCTGGCAAATTCAATGTGGCTTACTGCCATGATCTGGAGTGAAAACAACAAACACCACCACCACTTGTATCTTTAAAAGAGGTGTCATGTTAACTTATTTAGATATGTTCAGTGCGTTATAAGAAAGAAAAATAAAAAAACTATGTGTAGTTTGAAAATTCATTGGCTGGTATCTGGGGTTATTATAAAAGACCAAGAGCTGAAGAAGTTTTAGATTGATTATGAGCATTACTTTTGATTTTATATGACATGCAGATATTGTATGTAGACTTAGATATGAATGGCTCTTTTACTGGATTATGAGACAATGTTTTAATACAATGTTTGCCAGGGATGATGACTGAAACTTGAGAATGGAATGGAAATTTTTTCCCAAAATTTAAATAAGCATTCCACTTGATAGAAGGGGATTGTTGGGAGCTTGCTTTAGCCATAATAATGGCAGGAGTAGTGAATACAATAAATATGGTATAATATAATGTAACACACAATCCTATCACCATACAGCTAGTGTTAATTTTACATGAACTAGTGTTCTTGTCAACAGCTGTAAATATTGTATTTTATGAGAATTTTTTAACAATGTGTATTTACTATTATGATAACTCAATTGTGGATACACACCTGTTACAATAACAAAATACATGTTTTTATGTTTAGCAATGTTTATTATGCACTTATGTTCAAATTGTTATATCTGATATATTTTATAGACTGTAATTATAAAAGTGTAAAAAGCTATGTATCTCCTGCAAATATTATTGTTTAAATTTTATAAAGGAATGCATCTTCCAAAATGCTGGTATGAAAGAAATATGGTGGTTTATTGTCTTCAGAGCTAACAGCTTGGGCACAAAGTCGGTGCTAGATGGTTAAAACCCTACTTAAAATATCAGCATAATTTTTTGTTTCTGGGACAGTTATTCTGTTTCAACCATTCATCTGTGTTAAATAACACACATTTCATGTTTCAGCCCTTCCATTAGATTAGAGAAACAACATTATTTTACTATTGATAAATTTTATAAATATATTTCATAAGATTATTCTTTATGCCCTTTAAGATCACTTGATATTAAGTTGAGTGTGTTATTGTATTGTAAGCAGGTAAATGCTTTTAATATTGTCAATGACTCCTTGAAATCTCTAGCTAAGCCCCCATTCTAGTAGGGGATGCATTTAGATATGCTCATGTGAGTGTGCATTCCAATGTTGTGTTACATGTAGCTCATAAAATGCTTGAGCTACAGTCAAAAAACTGTACAGGAATATTGGTCAGCATGTGAAGTTGAGCACCTGATATTTGCTTGTGCATTTATTCAGTACTTGTAAAGTTACTGCCCTTCAATTAGTAAAAAATTGCAATTTTCAACTTGCTTCGTGTGTAGCCCAAAAAGTACTTGTTTTTCTTTGCTTTGGATTGACAATTTATAAAAAAATCTAATATTATTTAAAACATTACAAGTTGAAAAAAAAATAAGGGAAAAAACCTCATTTTAGGTACCTGCCTTCCTGCCATATATATACCTACACACACTACCCATTAACTGGCATTGGTGGCAAGATGAGGCAGCAAAAATATTTTTTGGCCAAATAATTTCAAATATGTTACTGTAATTAATCATTAACTGACACATATATGAGCCGCGTCATGACAAAACCAACATACTGCGTTTGCGACCAGCATGGATCCAGACCAGCCTGCGCATCCGCGCAGTCTGATCAGGATACCAACTCGATAACAAGTGGAGAACAGCATGGATCCTGATCAGACTGCGGGGATGCGCAGGCTGGTCCGGATCCATGCTGGTAGCAAACGCACTATGTTGGTTTTATCTTGACGTGGCTCATATGGTGTTTTCTTATTCAGAGTATCTGACACACCTGAGAAGTTGTTAATGCAAATAGCTACAAAACTTGCCCAGAGACAAGCTTTCAGAGGTTTGTACAATTATATCTGTAATTATCAAGTGACATTGATTATTTCAATCTAACACAATCATGATGCATCTTAAGTCCTTGCTGCTTTTGTGACTATGTATATAATACTACTATGGTATTGCACAGCCTTGCATATATGTTGACATGAGTTATTTGCATTATACAAACAAAGCCGAAAGACATGCTAAATGTTACATTCTAACACTATCGGAATTTTTTCTATATAGACAAAGAAGGCCGGAAGCGTGCATTATTCTACAACAGTGCACTCGCCGTTCTTATTATCTCCCTGTGTATTTTCACATTGAAGGCGCCATTTTGTTTAAAAAATCTGATAAATTAAAACAATTTTTTTCGAATTTTGTTGTGAAAACTATCTAGAATGAAAGAAAATGGTCTAACTAAGAAAATTAATCCGAACACCAATATCTTTAATTCAGTCGTTAACGCTGTACAGACGTTTAAAGTGTTGTTTACGTGACGTCACAATGTAGCGCCAAACAGCACGTGCAAAACAATCAAATCAAGTTCGCTATTTAATGTCGCAAACGAGTTTAGTTATACATTTATTTCACTTTTAATAATTTGTATTTCGCTTGGAAAATTATAAACTGAAATAAATAAACAAACAAAGTTGTATCAACGTTTTCAAAATTCGTTATTTTCAAAATGTTTCTACAAACGGTAGATTTAACAGTTTTTTTCAACCCACTGGAACGGCCTCTAAAGAACGTTTCTATTGGAAACTCTGAGGCGAAAACAAATTCAACCACCAAACATAAAGTCCAACGTTATAATAAAAATTATATTTTTCATTGACGTATTAGAATGGAAATAGATATCAATTCTTCGTACATTATTGTATAATAATGCACGTTTTTCGTTCAAATGCTTTGTCATTAATCACTCAGGCCTATCGGCCTTCGTGATTATATTACTACGCATTTGAACTCAAACCGTGCATTATTCTACAACAATGCACTCAGAATTGATATCTATTTCCTAACTATAAGCACCTCAATGAAAAATAATTGAACTTTAGTCAACTAGTTTTATAGATTCAGTATTGAACTTACACTCAATTATTCAATATCCTCTATATATTACAGGCTTTATCAACTTTATTTAATGTCAATTGGATTATGTCGTTCTATAAATGGCATGCCAGATGATAAATTTTTGTTGTTTTCATCATTTTCGTTTGCCTTATAATATGTGACTTTTTATATGCCCGAAAAAATTTCGGACATATTATGTAATACCCCCTGGCGTCTGTCCGTCCGTCCGTCCGTCCGTTAGCAATTTGGTTTCCGGAGCATAACTTAAGTTCTATTTGGCCCACAGTGTTCAAACTTCATAGGATGATTGTCCATATTTGATAGAAGACCCCTATTGATTTTGGGGTCACAAGGTCAAAGGTCAAGGTCACTATGACCTTAAAACTGAAAACAGTTTCCGGAGCATGACTTAAGTTCCATTTGTCCTACAGTGTTCAAACTTCATAGGATGATTGTCCATATTTGGTAGAAGACCCCTTTAGATTTTGGGGTCAAAGGTCAAGGTCACTATGACTTAAAACTGAAAACAGTTTCTGGAGCATAACTTAAGTTCCATTTGGCACACAGTGTTCAAACTTCATAGGATGATTGACGATATTGGGTAGAAGACCCCTATTGATTTTGGGGTCACAAGGTCAAAGGTCAAGGTCACTCTTACCTTAGAACTGAAAACAGTTTCCGGAGCATAACTTAAGTTCTATTTGGCCCACAGTGTTCAAACTTCATAGGATGATTGTCCATATTGGGTAGAAGACCCCTATTGATTTTGGGGTCACAAGGTCAAAGGTCAAGGTCACTATTACTTAGAAATTGAAAACAGTTTCTTGAGCATAACTTAAGTTCCATTTAGCCCACAATATTCAAACTTCATGTGATGATTGTCCATATTAGGTAGAAGACCCCTATTGATTTTGGGGTCACAAGGTCAAGGTCACTATTACCTTAAAACTGAAAACAGTTTTCGGAATATAACTTAAGTATCATTTGGCCTACAGTGTTTAAACTTCATAGTATGATTGTCCATATTGGGTAAAAGACCCCTAATGATTTTGGGGTCACAAGGTCAAAGGTCAAGGTCACTTTTACCTTAGAATTGAAAACAGTTTCTAGGACATAACTTAAAGTTCCATTTGGACCACAATATTGAAACTTCAAAGGAGGATTGTTATTTGAAGGAGGTTAATACTATATTTTAGTCCCATGTCTTACAAATGCTTCATCTTTACTAAAAAAAAAAAAAACACTTTCGGGCATATAATGCTCTGCCAAGCGGTGCTCTTGTTTTTCTGGCAATAATCATGATGGATTAACGATAATATTGAATTATTAAGTTTTATTATACATTTATTGAATTATAACTGTAAAATAGAAAAATAAATAAAGAAAAAGAATACAAAATTTCCTTTTTCACAGGGTGGAGTCATAAGGAAGCAAAGACATGGCAGTTTTTGATCCAGAAGTTTCCGGACAATATGGAGTACCGGAAAAAGCTCGGTGTCAGCTATATGATGATTGGTAATATTGAAGAGGCAAGAAAAGTGTTTACAGGTGTAAGTTTCTGATTTAGGAGAAGTTTTTTTTATTTCTATACCAAGTGGGTATTTTCATAGTATATATGAAGAGAATTGCAGGAAGTTTAGTAACTTAGAAAAACAGTAAAGAAGCAGTAAAAATTTGTACATTTGTGAATGGTCTCAAATAGTGAAAAAATTACCCTATTTAGACCCCAAACACTTGTTTCCGTTTGAGGAACAGTGTTAAAAAAAGTAATTAATTTCAGCGCTTTACCCTATCAAATATCATCAAGGGGGTGCCAGAGGGAGGGATGTGCCCCCTTCTGCTAGGGGATAGAGGGGGGTCAGTAGACCTCCATCTTTTCCAAGAAAATTTTTGACTTGTGAAAGGCTAAAAATGTGCCAAGGTTGACCTTAAGATAATTTATAACCAATGCTGAAAAGCCATTGACTCTATCTCAATCCATTGAGAAGTTGCAGACCTTTGAAATCCGTTATGATGGAAAAACATTGCAAAATAGTGATTTTTGGCAATTTTGAGATGTCTCCTCTTTGTCATGCTAACAGGAAATTAAAGATTGAATATGCTGTTACAAAGGCTATGGTCCAGTCAACATTTGTGCCAAGTTTGATCAGTATTGAAGCCTTTTTTATAGTTTCATAGTATATGAATAGCAATAGCAATAGTTTCATAGTGATTTGAACTTGTAACAGGAGGCTTTTCAATGAAGACAGTAATTTTTCACAAAATGCTCATGAAGTAATGGGTTAATAATTGTAAATTTTGTAACCCTTTACCTGGGTGGAACCTAAAGTGATTAGCCTTTGTCGTCGGTATAGGACCAAGCAAGCCTGTACAACAATGCGGTCTGACCATAACGCTATACTTTTGGCTGACTAATCATAAATTTTCATCTTGATATCGACTATATTGATGATGGAAAATTCTGAAAATGGAACCTTGATAAGTCCATTAAAAAAATTTACCAGGAAAGTGTTAAAGTATGTGCAATGTAAAAATATTTTTCTGAAAGTTGAAGATTAAATTATTTACTCATCTAGAGGCATTTTAACTTTAAAACAGTTAACCTTCCCATTCCTCATAATTTATCCATAAACAGTGAGATTCAGAAATGTTTTCATATGTATCCATTTTGTATATACTTCATAGATTTTACAAAAATCACCTGGCGATGGTTTCGGCCTGGTCCACTTGGGCTTTATCTTAAAAACTACAGATCTGAATTACAAAGAGGCAATCCCCATGCTCCAGAATGGAATTGACACAAAAGAAGAGGGAACTCAAGATGGCCGCTTCTTCTATCATCTTGGTGATGCATATCTTCGTGTGAACCAAACTGACAAGGTAATTAATGACATATGGAACCATATTTGGATATACATGTTGGTCCGTATTTGAGTCCGCTTCTTTGAACTAACCATTACTGATGTCATATGAGGAATCATGTTCATGTGCCCAGTGAGGTTGTGCATTAAGATTATTGTTGTATATCAATACAGTACTACTGTTATAACTTTGATAAGTCAATTTTCTCGATGTGTTGAAGTAAAATGAAAATCCTGATTTTTTCCCCCTATATATTCTTTATGAAAACCTATTATTATATGAGTTGAAGTTTGATGTGCTAAGTTTTTCAATGTGTTGAAGTTTTTATGTGGTCCTTGAAGAATAATTCAAGATTATTTTACCGTAAATATTATAAATCGAAGTCCATCGAGTAATGTGACACCTTTGACCTCGAGAAATTTTTCACACATATCCTGGCCGCAAAGATGATTGCTGATCAACTTGTATGACAGGTGTTAATTATCTAGTTTTGTGTTCTTGCAGACTTTATATGCCTTCAAATGTGTGAAAATCTGCTCTTATTGTTATCATTTAAATTGCCGTAGTTGTATTTGAAAACAAACGGTCTGATGTAGTTTTGCTTAAGAACTTAAGAGACCTTGTGTCACATGATAATCAACGGGATATGTTTACTTTACAGTAAGCTGGTTTAGTTATTGTCCTTTCCTAATGTTACGCTGTTTGGAATTCACTTGTAAAAATGAACACCATGAAATTTGTCATTAGTTTGAGACTGATTCTGAGTCAAAGTCAGGATGTGTCAAAGTTTTTATGCAAGTTCCTTCAACTTCAACATTCTGAAGTGTATGTGTATATAATGGTAAAAACTAATTGCTTACATTTGTATGCATTCAGATGGCTAATTGAGGACAGCTTAAGACATGTACTCTATGGGTTACATATAGCTGTAGAATTTCTCATTCTTTAACATGTGGCACCTAAATATGCACTCTACTATACATGTATATAGCTCATATGAAATTAAAAAATGCATTTCTTGTTAGTAGATGAATTCCACAATGTAAAACTAATAGGAGAGAATTTGTAAGTGTTTTTGTAACTCAATTGATTGAGCCAAGAAGAAGGATTCTTTAATCCCTTGTTCAAGTCCCTTTTTAGCTATACTCTGTATTATATATAATATTTCTACTTTTATATTTTAGTGTTATTTACGAAAAGAAAGTTTACTTGTATCTTTGTTACAGGCTAGGGAGACTTACAGGAGGGGAGCTGATATTGGCCTATTTTTATCAGAGTACCAAAGGTCCCTTTATAATGCCAATACTAAAATTACTGGACGTCCATGGTGGACACCAGAACAGACAACATACAAAAGATATCTCACAGTAAGCTTTTCTTCTTGATATACAAAATGGATTTCTTGCATATCTGACTAAATTATTAACTATTTTCACCATTTCTGAAAACAGGGCCTTTTCCCTTACATTGAGGCCTGTGCTTTTTGATTCTAGACAAACTGTGATTTTTCTTGACATTGTGAAAGAATTGAAAAACTATTGATACTATTTGTGTAAGTTAATTTACAATGACAGTTGTTCTGTACTGGATGAAAATCAAACATTTACTTAAGATGCTTTAACATAAAATATTTAATTAATACTGATTTCATGAGACTGTAAATAACTTGGAATATTTTAGTGTATTTAAAGATGCCACTTGTCTTTGAAATTTTGGTTGAAATATTGCTTTGTAACGTCAATCAGAAATATTTTTGATTGTGGAATCGGCCATTTGGAACAGAGAACGGGTTTTCTTCAAATTTTGGAGGAACCTTTATAAAGCCCTTGTTATATGGTGAAAGAAGCCCTGGCTGAAAAATTTCTTAGTCACATGCTTATGATGTCATTCTGCAATTTTAACTTGCAAATTCAAACTCTCACATTTGAAAATAAACAAATTTTACTTCTTAAACATGTTAAACTTAATAAACATATATTTTGATAATAAGTAATAAAAAGTAACACTCCAGACAAATAATCTTTGCATGAAAACATTAATCTAATGATTGGCATAAAACCCAATGCTTGGACATCCCTGGCCATTGGTATTTACTTTTTAGTCTATCAAGTCAAAAACCATACCTCATCATACCAATGAGAGCTTAAACCTGCCATGACCTTTAGATTCTTTCATGTGAGGAAACAATTGATAGATCCCTACTCTGACCTTTTATTTAAATAACAAAAGACTTAACCACAAAAATTGACATGTGCTCTTTTGTTTACAAATATGTTGTGGTGAAATACTTATTGTATCCACTAATCTGATATTTAGAATTAGATAGGTCAGGGATCTATGCATCCAGCTAGCTCACACAACACTGATGGTTCTGCTCAGGTACCACCTTTTGCCTGAAATAATTCATGGCGGCCTTCCTCAGCCAGTAAAGCTGGAAAGTTGCCATATGACCTTTAAAGTGTTGGTTTGTTTTAAGACCAAACCTAAACAAACAAACAAACACACAATGCTAGTGCTGATGCTAAAAGCTGAAAAAGGTACATGTATTGTAAGAATCTCAAACTTTCTTGTGGAATAGATCATAAGATGTTCCTATATTGAATACATTCAGTATTGAGATTTAAAACTACTCTGCCTGTTATGAAGAAATACAATTTCAGATGTTAGAAAATAACTGGAAGATAATTCGAGATGAAGGTTTGGCTCAACTAGATCAGAAAACTGGTGCTTTTATTCCAGAGGAGGAAAATCTCAGGGAAACTGGTGACTGGAAACAGTTTACACTATATCAACGAGGTACAGATAGTTCCTGATGTTTTACAATATTTAGCTCCCTTGACAAGTAGGCTGCCATTTTAGGGTCATAATTCAATATTTATTATTAGCTTACATGATTGTTAGATTATTATCTAATACATGTAGTATGTGTATAATATATTGGGAATGACCTACAAATGTTGACCAGGGGAGGTAATGCATTTTATAGGAAAACTAGGAATATTGGAGTATTGTAGATTTAATTCTTTGTTTATCTGGTTTTAGTATACCAATTATTACTCACTTTGATAATGTGTCAGCGGTCAGGCTGCCTTACTGGCTTATTGTAGAAAAAAAGGAGTGAAATTTTCACCATGATTTTACTGGTTATTTAGAACACAATCTGACTATCAATCTGAATGTCATCACTTTAGTGCAGTAACAGGTTAAGTCCTTCTCAATTTAATAGGAGTTAACCAGTTTTTGCACTAAGGTGACAAAATGTCTTTTGTGAGTTAAAAGAGATTTTCATATGAAAAAATATCAACATTTTGCAGCAAACTATATACAGTCTGGTCAAGGTTAACAGAGGTGCCTGTCTTTAAGTGAAACAGGTAGCTGGTGTGCTTGTTGATGCCTTAAATAAGATTAATTATTAGATCTAAGGTGGTTATTGTGCATTTTGTGGGATGTACCGGCTCAGCTCAATAGAGAAGGCATCTGATTTGCAATCCAGGGGTCACTTATACGATCTTCTGGAGAGGTGAAATTTCTGTGTGACAATTGATATTTGACATTGAGTCTTAAGGTCATTTATATCTCACTGCTGATTCAGAATTCATGTTGGATTAGTAGACAGTACCTGGCAGAGAAATTGGTAATTGCTGGTTAGTTATCCAGGAAAGCTAGTTAGGTAAACTGTCCAGATATGACCAAAATTGTGTTGATATCAGCATAAAGTCAAGAGAAACTGGACAATAAAACAAAGCATGAGAGTGCCTGAAAAAAGCCACTCATTGGCATGTTAGAGATTGTAAGGAAACATGTTGCTATCTTTAGTGAACTAACCATATCTGGTGCAGATGAAAGTAAATTTTTTTTGAAAATATCTCCGTCATATATCTAGCATTCACAATCAGAGAATTTTTATTTTATTTCAGGCAATAAAGATGAAAATAATTGCAAGAGAGCTCCTAAAACTTGTGCCTTAATAGATCAGATTCCTGAAGCGAAGGGCTGTACAAGGGGTCAGGTCAAATTCTCGGTGATGCATCCTGGGGTTCATGTCTGGCCCCATACAGGACCCACAAATTGCAGGTTACGGGCCCACCTTGGTCTTAAAATTCCGGAAGGACCAAGGATTAGGGTTGGTGATGAGATAAGGTAAAGCTATAAAATTACCATCATCAGATTCTCTTAACTTAACTATTAATCAATATTTCTGGTATTTATATGGGACTAGATTTTCTTGTGTTTACACTTGTGAAAGACAAGGTCATCATACACCCCTTTATGTGTAAGATTTGTCGCATGTTTTGAATATCGTCCTTCTGCGATGAACAGTCTTGTTGAATCAAACAGTACTTTGAGAAAAAAAAGTGCCTAGTGAAAATAAACAAGATTCTGTTACTCTTTCCAGACCATTATTTGATATGTAATACACAAGGAAATTGACTGTATGTATAGCCGGGAATGTCTTTCTCTGTTTAGTGATTAGTGGTCACTTTGTAGAGCCTGGTAGCTGTATTGTAGAGCCTGGTAGCTGTATTGTAGAGCCTGGTAGCTGTATTGTAGAGCCTGGTAGCTGTATTGTAGAGCCTGGTAGCTGTATTAAACAGTTACCTCAAACCTTATATTCCTTTCTGTACCAGCATGTGATGTAAGATCATTATGCGATTATTTGTAACAAACAAACCTTTTCTGTTTTTTCTGTAGAACTTGGAAAGAAGGGAAGTTTATTATCATTGACGACTCGTTCGAACATGAAGTGTGGCATGATGGTACAGAACTGAGACTCATCCTCATTGTAGACTTTTGGCATCCAGAAATACCGCAAAATGAAAGAAGATCATTGTCTCCGATATAGATTGTTTGTTGAGTTGTAATTTACCAACACATAGAAGTCCCAGATGTAGTTTTTTTTATTTTGTACACATGTATATAGCTTCAAGTTATCTGATAGAAATTTACAGTTACTTTTCAACTGTAGAAGATGGATTTTTGGTATTTCATGTTTTGACGTCAAAAATGTGTACTCGTATGCCTTTCATAGCAACATATCAATAACCAGGTGCATTACCTGTTTATAAGGGAAAAAATATTCCTTTTGTATTAATCAGATTTTTTTGCACATTTTTCTGAGGTGATTGTAGAGGACATGTTGGGAAACAGTTGTAAGTCCTTTGTGTCTTACATCCGCTTTACCTCATGCCCTAAATATAATAAATGAATTGTTAAATGCTATTCTCTTAGACTGTATCTCTCTCATTGATTGTGTAAAGTTGTTGCCGTCACAACATATGTACTGCGGGCCTTGTGGGATAACAAGTTTACATAATCAGCTTGAGTAATACAACCTATCAGAATAACATGCTCATGCAATTTTCTCTATATATTAGGTAAGATTTGTGTATACTAACATGTGATAGAAAGCTGTGATGCTAGTCTTATGTCAAAATCTAGTTTTATCTTAACATTTTTAAGGACTTCTTGATATAATTGTGTTGGAGTTAATTATTTTTAAAAAATCTTGTTTAACCATGACATTTTTTATTGACATTTAGATATAATAATATAATGAGGTCTATAAAAAGATATAGTTTAATCAAACAATTTAATGGGTCATGTTCCCCTGATCTTTTCTGGCATAGATTTATCTCGTATTGACATTTTTTTTATGAAATTCTTGATAAATCTATAAACAGGCCATATATTTATTGTTTTGGTACCACCACCATTTTGGTGGCATCGGGAACTTATGTTATGTCAATTGTGTCAGACAGGAGGGAATTTTAGAATTATACTGGAAACTACTAAATAGAGAAGAACTGGCATTTTGCAATATTGTTAACATACATTCTTTTAAGTAAAAAGAACCTGAACTTTTTTAAAAAATCAAATTAATAAAATAAATCATTACCATCTGAAAAATTTCATTAAAATTAAGAATTTTTTTTTTTTTCATTTGAAAAAAAGCTTCGTTTCATTTGACTATGTGAAGGTCTTTTTGTTAAGGAAGTTACTTTGTACTGATACTGGCTAATATTTATGAGAGTGACAGGTATTTGAGACAAGGTATATAGTTTTCATAAAAAAGATCTATTTTGATTGGCAGCAACTTAAGCAGATTCATGCTAATTTACGAGAAAATTTTTAAAAATATATTTAAAAGTAAAATAATGTGAAATGAAAAAAGGAAGTTATTTAGACATTTCAAATTGGCGCTTACAATCCATGTAAATTGCTAAAAAAGAGGTCAATATATGCAAAAATAGCCCATACTGTGTAAGTCAGACAGAAATAGGGCAGTAAATATCATGACTACTACAAAATCAGTCATTTATAGCACAAAATTTGTAAATTATTACTTAAATCTTTATACTTTTCTTGCAATCTTAGTACATTTTTCTTATTTAAATATTTTGACTCATCTGGAGGAATGCAGCTTTAAAGTGTTCTTAATTTTCATTGGTCAGTTTTGAAAAACTGTGTTCAAAAGATGTGTTTGTACATCTTTAAGGTACTTGTTTTGTATAAACATGTGTATGCATCAAATGATAAAGCACACTTAAAATAGAGTTTTTTGTTTGTTAATAATTTATATAGTGTCAAATAATTTACTAAGGTGATATAGATAAGTTTCATTCAGTCAAGCACCTTTATTATAGTAAGAGAGAATCATTGAAAATTAAAGGGTGATAGTAAAGCTGTAAATAAAATGCCTTAATAATATAATGATAAATCAGGGACCAGAATGTTGTTTGTGTATTGTCTGTAGCAAATGTTAGCTGTAGTTTTTAGACATTGTCTTGTTTAAGAATGTTAAAATTTTAGGAGAAAAAAGACACTTTTACTGATAGCTTTAATGTATAAAGAGTCTATAGACCAAAGTATGTTACTTGCATTTACTTTGTAGACAGCTTTAAAATTTGTTAGAATTATGTTAACCAGAATTTTTATTATGTATGTGATTTCTGTATGTTTAGATATTATAGATGTTATCCGGAACTCGACAAATGTGGGTTTTTTCCATGCTAATCCTCAGGTACAAACAAACTTTTACCGTTATAGCTTCACGATGCACTATAGGTCACAATAAAATAGTCAACCTGTTGCGCTTAATTTCGAAGCTGTAACTGTAAAAGTTGGTTTGTACCCCCAGATCAACTGGGAAAAAACCAAATATTCTTAATTTTGGAGTAAGTCTATTGCCATAGTCAAGAATTAAGATCCTAAAATGTTCCATCTTTAACTTGTGGTAATAAATCTTGATGCAGAAGACCTAATAGATATTGTGCCATAAGGGTAAATGAGAAAAAGAGAGACATTTCTGTTTTATTTAATGCTAAGTGCTTAGGAGGTGACTGGAAATTTCTGTTTTTACTAAACTTTTTTTTAGAACCCTAACCTGCTTAAATTCCTTAATAGCCTTGTCCAGCTACAATTTTTGGGATTGTCCATTATCAATTTTTGAATATCAAGATGAAAATTTTAAGTTAGTCATTAATACAGAGCCTTTGTTAGCAGGCTGACCTGGCCTGGTTCTTGTGGTTCCAGCAAGTTTTCCAGATTTTTAACTTATTTGGAGCACACACTATTTTCGGTAACCTTTAACTGCATTATAAAAATAACTTGAGTACCTTTTAAGCTTGAAAAGTAATTCCTATAATGACAATGTATTGGGATTTTTATAATAAAGTCACATGTAGGACTTACAAATGTTGTAAGATAATGTTTGAATTTTCTATGATTTATTGATCAGCTTGAAATATGAGATATAAAACTCTCTACATTGAAAAAAATAAATCCTCTTGTTTTATTCATGTTGTAAATGAAAACAAACTGTTACTGTAGTTGGCAAAAAACACTTCAGCAGAAGCTTTGAGTGTGTTTGTAACATATGGAAATAACTTTTAGTAACCACAGTGTTTTAAGGTTACATCAAACAGGTGCAGATCCATGATTCTTTACCAAAGTGTCCCGCCGGGTTACAAAATTTTGACAAAGGGTAATATATATACTAGTATGCCAGGGAGTAGGTTATAACCTCCTATACCCCCTTTTGGATTTATATATGTAAAATGAACTGTTGTATCTTGTTTCTGTTGTCAACATTGTCAGCTCTTGTTAGTTATTTTGTTACAGTTGTAATAACTCTAGTCAGAGAAAGATATATTTAAGAGTGTTCTATGTCAACAACTTTCAATGTAGTCCAATTGTGCAGTTCTGTACTTACTCAGCTGTAGGACGTACTCACCTATAGGACAAACCAGTTATAAGACAGGACCACAAATTTTACTCTCAAATAGGTAGTTTTTTGCTTTCACTTAATTGATCTACTTATAAGACTAGATGATACATGATGTTACATTAAAAAAACATGTTAAAGGTGAGTAAATAAATACATTTAAAAGACAAAAAAATATGAAAACTGCTGAAAATAAGTCAGTTCTATGCATTATGAATGGTATAAGCTAGTTTATTATTGTATATTAATTTATATGTTGAATGCTGTGAAAAAAGTTATTTCATTAATGAAAGGCATTTAGTTAAATGATGATTGGTGTTTTAGATACTTGTATGATTTCTTTTTTGTAGATTTATGGTTTTTTCTTAAAATGTCACAAATGGCTATCTTTTTAGAATCTTTCACAATTCACTTCATAAGTATCTTTCATCTTTCACCCAAAGTCATGTTTTTATCAATTCATATTTTATTTTCTAACTTATTTCTCTAATAGTCTTGATTATTATTATATTGATCATGAAATTCAAGCACTCTTGTATAATTATTTATAGATATATCATCCCCTTAGTGCAGTAACGGGTTAACTTCCTTGGCAATTTAAAATGAGTTGACACCTTAACTGCACTAAGGTGACAATATATTTTGCACCCTTGTTTTACTTCTCCCTTACATCTTATATGCACTTATCCATGTTCCAACCTGGACAAAAGCATTTATCGTTTATAGGGAAAATTTCAAAATATTTACTGAGTGCAGACCATGATCAAGATGGCATAGATGTGCCAGCCGATCTTGATCTGCACTAGACGCAAGAGTACAATATGTGTAAAAATTTGCTTAATACTTGCTTTTATTAATAGGGATGGTTAATGTAATTTTTTTCTCTTGTCCAAGAAATTTCGATACTTCATTGAGAATTTCCTTTTAAATAGTGCTGAGATTTTTTTAGGTAGATATATTGTATGACAGTTTTGTCACTATTCTACATGACAATACCATGTTATGTATAGCTTTAATAAGCAGAGCTCCCATTTTAATGGTTACAGATTTAGTTTATTATTGAAATTGTTACAGATTTAGTTAAAGATAACTTAGCAATACTGTGTATATATTTGCATTTGGCACCTGCCAGTTAAAAAACTCTTTAGCACAGAAGTCCTTATTATTATTTTAAGCAGATCATTTACATTTTTATGCCCCCCCCCAATCCCCCCCCCCAATATTTATCGCTTATACTATGCATAATATTAATTGAATGAGAAATACTTTACAAATCCAATATTTGCTGATTAGTAAGAAACATAATATATTCAGGCAAAGTCTTGTTAAGCATATAAAATTGGATAACAGAAAAATTTATATGATAATTTTCTTATAGAATACTTGCAGGTTATTGTAGCAGAAAAGTAATGTTTTTATGAAGATTTTATATATAAAGCATAATTTGTTTGTGCCAAACAATTTGCCCCACAAAAACAAATGGTGGATTGTGAGCATACATAATAATTTATATTCAAGGTTGTCTCAATTTTGTTATGCTTCCATAAATCATATTTATATTAGTGTACCTTTCAAAACTAATCTTATTATAGATTTTAATTTTCTACATGCAACATACATTTTAACATTTGACATACTAGTACTTATAATGTGACATTCCAGATATTCTTGCCAAAATTGTAAGTCAGTATTATGAATGGAAATTCATGTCCAAAATGTAAAAATAATGTATAAAGACTGTGAGAATAATGCCTCATTCAAACATGATTTCAGAATGTTCAGATATAGAAATGTATAAGGGATGTTTGAAAAGTGTTCAGAAAATGTCTGTATTTTATTATAATTATAGCTATGTAACTTAACAAATGTTTTTGAAAGAAATGCATTGATATATTGTGCTGTTAAACTAGTACTTGCCTGTATGTGAAGTCCACATTGACAATTACAAAGGGTTTTCAAAAAGTACCTGAAAAATGCTGTGAGGAATTTTCTGTATACTTTTTACATAGTATAGTGTAAAGAGAAAGTCATGTTTCATCTATGTGAAGAGGGTGTTATTTTATTAGGAACAAATGCCTGTTTTGTAGGCACTAACTGAAAAAAAGCAGAATATAACTTGTAATGTGAGTATGAACTATGTAACTGTTAGGCAAAACCTTTTTGCTGCGTTTTTAATTGACACAAACATTTTTATCTTTGTTTTTTAATTGTTACGGAATATGCTAGTATTATATGTTTGTTGTAATTTTATGTCTTGTTTATATGCATTCATTATTTCTTATCAAGTTATTCATTTCTAAAATTGTGACATCACAAAAAAGAGTTATATCTGTTAATTAACAGCAATTTTTGCACACACAATGTGCCATACTGAAACCCTTCTAATAAAGATCAAATAACAGTTGTATAATTTATATATATAAAAAAGACTGACCTAAATCAAAACCATTTGAAATCGCCACCTAATGTTTAATATAAAAAAGATGTAATGGAATTACTGATCACTGATATGAATTGATTAATTCAGCCAATTTACATGATTTCAGCCAATTTTTTAAAAAATCGGCCAAATTTTATTAATAATTTACCAGCTTTACAAGAGTACTGTACATGTAATATTCATATGTAATTATTGTTATAATGTAAATAATGCATAATGAATTTTTAACTGTAATATTGAAATGTTTCATTTAAAGTGTCAGTTCATAAGTAGCTATACCAATTTTTTTACATGTGTTCAGTTGATTTATGAATTCAGTTATTATAGTTAGGCTTTATCAATTTTGCATAAATTTGGTCAATTTTATATGCATATATACCAGTTAAGTTTGAATTTATTGCATGTAACCAATTTTGTAGAAATTCAACCATTTTTTTATTGGAATTTGACATTTTTTTAAAGAATTTAGTCAATATACTTATGCTTATTTTATAACAATTTCACAGAGTTTTTATGGGCTCTTTTTTCATGTATGATTTTGCAAATTCATATAACAAGACTGTATTGTAATATTTTATTTTATGAGTATTGTTAGTGTACACTTTATTTTCTTAGTCCCCTTTTGAATATTTTTTTTATCAAATTTTGCACTGAGGACTGTATTCAGATAATATTTTTCTATATTTATACACATGAGGTTGTACTGCATACTTTTTTTATGCTCTCCAATTTTTATTCTCCAAGGAGCACATGGTCACTGATTTGAACGTCCTTTCTCCTGTCACAGTAATTAATTGTTTCTCATATTGTATCCATAAGTTGATGAATATCCTAGATATTTGTATGTACGTACCTAGCATGAAACATTGAACATATGCGGTCAATAGGGCAAGGTTGCTGAGGCTAGCACACAGAATGTCAGTGGTTCTACTCAGGTGCCTGTTTGTGCCTGAAATAATACACAGAAGGGCACCAGAGGCCTTTCTTCACCACTAAAGCTTGAAAGTCACTATATGAACTATACTTTGTTGGTATGACATAAATCCAATAATTCAAATTTTACATCTTAAATTTACTTATCCATCTAACCAGAGATCAGAGATGTGCAGGCTGTGCTTGGTCTGTACTGGTAGCATGGGCCCTAGCAGGCTAAAAGTTCAAGTCAGTAGTGTTGAGGCAAAAAGGTTAAAATATAGGAGATATTGGTTTAACCTATATTCTTGTTTCCTTCATTTTTTTTTTGGAAGAATATATTTTATTGCAGATAACTTAAAAATTTTCAGCAGTTTTGAATTATTTTATATGCACTCTTGTATCACTGACACCTGTGCTTTGGGATAATTTATTTATTTTATAATTATTCTTTTGCCACATTTTTTAAAGTTAAAGTTTTCATGGGATAGTATAGCACTTATTTTACTTAAACTTTTTTGTCCTTTTTAAATTTTGAATAGTGAAAGAAGTGGGTTTATTATTTATTATTTTTAATATGTCAATATCTTGCATGAAAATAAGCAATAATTGTGTATCTACGCAAATTAACAGCAGATATGTGTCCTCTCAAATTCTGATTTTATTTCTCTTTGTTTTTAAAGAAATTTGTTAAGATCTTTGTTTTAGTAAGTTGTTTTATTGCTGACTGTTTCAGTACTTATCACTTGTTTGAAATTAACATTTCAGTAAGAATGACCTTAGCAATATTTATGTTCCCGTATAGATTTAGTTACATAGCATTAATTTTATTCCTGTAAATCATTGACGTCTGCGTAGTTGAGTTGTTGAGATTACTGACTACAGACCACTGGCTTGCCGAATGGTAACCGGAAGTCATCTTGCTGGAGGAATACAAGAATGTCGTCATATGACATAGACAGTAATGTCGTGACCGAAAACCTAACCAATCAATCAGTCTACTTACCAGCCAATCAAAAACCAAATACAGCCATTGTTTTTTTATGTTGATGAACCAATATAAGAAATGTAAAGTTTAGTTGTTTTTTTTAATAATTGTATTGAACTAATGAAAGTTTTTATTTGTATTTATAAATTTAGAGTCAGTTGTGAACGTCACCGATGTGGCACATTCAGATATATTTATGTATCTACCCAAATGTCTTTATAATTATTTTTTAAGACTTTTGTCTTCTTCATTACGACAGCGTATTGTTCATTAACAGATGTAATAATTTGTTCAAGATAGTTTAATTATAAAAAAACTAATAAATGAATTATGTATTAAAGGGATATTAGAGCGTTTGTTCTGATTTATGAGATTAGATTATGACTATATTGTCAAAAATTATTGAAAAGCCCTGCCCCATCGCAAAAACAACAACAAAAACCCAACAACAACAACAAAAAAGTTGAAAGTCTCGAGCGACTTTAGGTCATTTTGTAGTACACAGAACGAGAGAGATCGAATTCATTCCATCAGAGAATATGGGAGCCATTTCCTTCAATGCATCAAAAGTAAAAAAAGGGAAGTTCAATGGCTAAAATCTATTTATATGGTATACTCGTTTTGACTGGGTCTGGTTTATTGGAGATGTCTAACATGTTTATGAAAGGTGAGATCCAAGTACAATGATAAAACAATACAAAATTCTTTTTTTTTTAATTTGTTCACGAGAGATTGTGAAATGGGCACCATCTCTCACGCCCCCTAACACCAACTAATGAACCATCAACGATATTGGAATAAAATACTGAATATACAAAATACAAGAATATTCAGATGAAGTAAAGATCAATTTTTATATTGAACAGTGTTTACAGCAACTTCGCAATTCACTTACTAAACTGAATTTACCAAAAGACTTGTCATAACATTACGTGGTTTTATTTGTCAATCATGTATAAAAAAGCATATCCTTTTTAAGTGTCCCTGAATGTCGTGCCGGTTTACAAGCAATACTACGAATTGTTACTGTCAGACAGTTGTGCCAAAAATGATGGAAACTTTGTAATTACCAAAAAAAAAAATAAAAAAAATAAAAAAAAAAATAAAAAATAAAAACCAACTAGTTTTTCCCCTTACACCTAATTTTGGTGAAAAATTGTTGTTTTTTTTTTTTTTTTTTGAAAATTAATTATAACTCTACTGCTACTGGACCACAGGGTTTAATGAGATGAACATATGATCTTATCAGATGACCAAGCAGACTTTCAGAGCATATGTTATTATGCAAAATGCGACAATGGCTTATACATATGGGAGGGGTAACCGGGTGGGCATTAAACCCTGTGGTCCAGTAGCAGTAGAATAATAATTGAACTTCAACTTCCAGGTAAGTCTCGTTTAATTTTTTAATTCTACTGCACCAAGGGTTAATGAGATTTTAGAGACCATGCTCGCATTTGATAAGCCGTAAAAACTTCATAACCATGTACATTTGTACAATGATTACGCATTCAATCAACGACTATTACCTTTTCAAAACTGAAAATATAATGTACA